TCTCTTTATCTTAAGGTCAGCTGATTAACCACCTAGACGCCCCCTTGCCATGTAAGGCAACGTAATCACAGATTTTGAGGATTAGGACATGGACATATTTGGAAGATTATTATTCTGCCTATCATGGGGGTGAAAGTCCACACACACAAAGTAACATAGTGTACAAAGTTGTTCATGGCCATATTATAATGAAAGTTTGGAAACAACCTAAACATTCCTGAATTGGACACTGGTGAGATAAACTATAGAGCATGCACAGAGTGAAACACTAAGCAATTGTTTAAAACAGAGAATGTCATAGTTCTCTATGTACCAAGTTCCACGCTATGTTGCGAAGTGGAAATAAAGTCAGGTATAGGGTTATATACATAGTATTTACCCTTGAGTTTAAAAGGGAGGAAGGCTGTCAGAGCTTTGCATACAAAAACTCTACAAGGACAGACAGAAAACAGTTTTTCGGAGTAAATGAACAGGAGTAAGGGTAAGAGCAAGACTGTCCACTGTGTACTTTTTTTTAATTTAACATGGTTTGATGTGTGAACTACAAGAATAGATTCACAAGGAAATTCCCCAGACCCGAAGATCACACATCCACAGACACACAGTTCCCCTCAGTGCCCAGCACAACTAATGAAAAAGTCCCACAGGAAGGCACATCCCACGAGACTCCAGAACCCAGTGATGAAGAACTGATAGCTTCCAGAAAGAAAAACAGATCCCAGACAAAGGAGAAGAAATTGAACTGGTCTGACCCATCTCAACAGCAAAATCCCATTCCAGACCCCATTCTCCATGTAGCAACATTATCCAGAGTCTCTGGGAAAATGATTTACAATCTAGAACTCAACGTCCATCCAGGCTATCAATCAGGTATGGCATTTCCTCTGCTGAACTCACCTCACCACTCCTTGACGGAGCTATCTGCTCCACAGCCAGCCTTATGTGTGGGGGACCTCCCAGCTTCCCGAGGCATTTTCGGACACACAACTTCAAATGTTAAACTCCCATCACCCTTTCTTAGGAAGCTACTAGTGGGTATGCTTCACTTAAATGGGGGATTTTATATTCATCTACAATACACTGCATGGCTTCGAAACTTGATCCTATTGAGAGTCACTCATCTTGGCAGAGCAGGAACTAGGCGCTTTGGACCCAGAGTGGCCCAGGTTTGAACCCCTGGCTCTGCCACTTAACCAGCAGGTTTGTAGTGAGGAAAAAGACAGTGTAAGTTGGCAGATGAGAGTGACTGGCCTGGATCTTATCTGGCTGGCTGAGACACTGCCCTGCTTCCCCCTCAAGAGTCCTCTTTTCCCCCTGGGTTTTTCTCCCTTGGGTTTTAGCATTAAGCAGAGATTTTTCCTGGCAGGTGGGGGTGAAATGCATGAAAAAACACAGACCCCAGGAGAACCCTGCCAGGGAATTTCCTAGGAGCTGTGCCCCTTGTGCTGCCAAGCTACCTCCCCCAAACTGGGAACTTCACTCTTTTTTTTTTTTTTTTTTTTCTGTGTCAGAGTCTTGCTCTGTCGCCCAGGCTGGAGTGCAGTGGCACGCTCACAGTCACCCCAGTGTCAACCTGCTGGACTCAGGCAATCCTTCCATCTCAGCCTTCCAAGTAGCCAGAACTACAGGCACGCACTACTACACCCGGCTAATGTTTTCATATATTGTAGAGACAAGGTTTCACCAAGTTATCAAGGCTGGTCTCGAACCCCTGAACTCAAGTAATCCTCTCACCTCGGCCTCCCAAAGTGCTGGAATTACAGGCTTGAACCACCACACCCAGCTGGGACTTTACTCTTTAATTCTCGCTCCTAGGAGGGATCTGGATTTTGCTTCTGATAAGGCAGGGTTCACACTGCACGTACACACCAACTTTTCTCATTCCTATTCTACTTCTAGCTCCCTCCCTGTGATTTGACATCAATGCCCTTGATTTACGTTGGGACCATGCTGTGAGTTTATAGATAAGGGGGCCAGCACATTCAGGATGTGAAGTGACAAGACCTAAATCCCAGTCGTCCTTATTTCCATCAGTAATGTGTGTGCAGGGACTCAATCAGCTAGAATGCTCTTAGTCAAAAAAATCTGAGGTTAACGTAGCAAGAGAGACGTCACCCAAGATATATACAAGTCTCCAGGGATTTCTGCAGAGCTATTTTTAGACCAGAGAAGAAAGGCTGGGGAAGTGGCTGGACAGAATAGTCCCAGAGGCTGCAAAGGTAGCAAGCCCTTATCCAGAGCAGGACAGCTGTGGAGCAACAGTGGACTGCACAGCAGCACAAGGCAGCCGCCTGTGAGCTGAAAACAGTCTTGGCATCCCTGTAGCCTTAGGTGTGACCAGCCCAGGCTGGCCCAGTGTAGCCCTATTGTTCTACACCTCTCTCAGGTATGTCCACTCAGGTGGTCCCTGGCCTATTAATGCATCCTCATTTCTCTTTCTCCAGGAATGTCTGTACCATCCTCCCATAGCAGGGACTGCATCCTAAACCTCTCAGCATCCTAAGGTTCAGACAGATCAGTTTCCACACTACCTACATGGTGGAGACATCCGATTGCCGCTCTACCAATAGCCTCCTCCAGATTTTCCATTAGCATGGAGATGCCTTGGCAGGAGAGAAGCAACGACTGATATAACCGGGAAAAATGACCAGTCATGACACTCTCGAAAAGCACTTAAGGCCTGGAGTGGTAGCTCACACCTATAATCCCAGCACTTTGGGAGGCTGAGGTGAGAGAACTATTTGAGCCCAGGAGCTTGAGAGCAGTCTAGGCAACATAGTAAGACACTATCTCTACAAAAAAAATTGAAAAATTAGCTGGGCGTGAGGGGCACGTGTCTATAGTCTCAGCCACTGGGGAAGCTAAGGCAGAAGGATTGCCTGAGTCTAGGAAGTCAAAGCTGTGGTGAGCTGTGATCGTGCCACTGCACTCTAGCCTGGGAGACAGAGTAATACTCCAACTTACTTAAAGGGGTGATTATAAATAATTGAGGGTCTCGCACAACTGTTTCTGCCCTTCCATTCATATACTGCTTTCAAGTTCCTCAGAGGAATACAAATGAAAGGTAGGAGACAGTAAAACCCTCGGGTGGCCATTCATACAAGTCCTTATTTAGAGAACAAGTGATTATGCTACCTTTGCACGGCCAGGATACCCCGGCCGTTTAACGCATGTCACTGGGCAGGCAGTGCCTCTAATACTGATTATGCTAGAGGTGATGTTTTTGGTAAATAGGCGGGGTTTAGCTTTGCCAAGTTCCTTCTACTTCTTTTAATCTTTCCCTTAACGCATGCCTGTGTTGGGTTAACAATGAAAGTAATAAATCGTTTATTGGTTGGTTACTCATATTAAGTTGTTAACTATCAGTGGTTTGTCCGGTCTGATATAAGCTTGTGCGGGGAGAATGATTTCTTGTTACTTATATTATCAGTATCACTTCTATAGATTTATAGATTAGTCCAGTGTCGTTATAGGAGTTGTGGTTGCTGGTTGAAATTAAGGTGTGTGGAGCCGGGTTGAGCTTGAACGCTTTCTTAATGGTTGGCTGCTTTTAAGCCAACTATGGAGAAGGGCAAAGTTACTCTCTAAGTAAGGTTGTTTCCTCTTTCTAAAGAGCTGTCCCCCTTTAGAATAACATTTAAATTTACATGAGGATTATTTGGTTCTGTAGGCAAATTTAAAGTTGAACTAAGATTCTATCCTGGACAACCAGCTATCACCAGGCTCAATAGGCTTTTCACCGCTACTTGAAAATCTTCTCTCGGCCGGGCTCGGTGGCTCAGCCTGTAATCCCAGAACTTTGGGAGGCCGAGGCAAGTGGATTGCCTGAGCCCGCGGGTTTGAGACCCGCCTGGGCAACTTGGCGAGACCTCGTCTCTACAATAAATCAAAAACTAGCCAGGCGTGGTAGCGCGTGCCTGTAGTTCCAGCTACCTGGAAGGCTGAGGCAGAAGGATCACCGGAGCCCAGCAGGTTGAGGCTGTGGTGGCCAGGAGCGGCCACCGCACTCCAGTCTGGGCGACAGAGTGAGAGTCCAAGTCAAAAAAAAAAAAAAGAAAAAAGAAAATCTTCTCACTATTTTGCAACATACATGAGTGTGCTCTTCTGGCTGTTCACAAGTAGCTCGTCTGGATTCAGGTTTTTTTGGCTAAAATTCTCTTTGTAAAACTGTGCTAGCTAATTCATTATGCAAAGGTAAAAGTAGTAGTCTTTGCTTTTTTGTACTTTTAAAGTGTCTTTCATCTTTCCCTTATGGTACTTTGTCTATAGCGCCTAAATAAATTTCTATCTCCTATACTTTTAGTTTGTGTAAATGTTTTGGTTTAGAGAGGGTTGATATAGATTAGTTGAGTTCAATTTGGGCTAGCGTTAGTTCAAAGTGGTCCATTTATGAAATCTTTCGGGTGTAAGCCAGATGCTTTGGGCTTAAGCTACACTTTGTCTATTCCAAGCACACTTTCCAGTATGCTTACCTTGTTACGACTTATCTCATCTTATGCATTATGGTCATTTTATTATATATGAATATGTGTTGTGTAAGTTGCATTTGAGGAGGGTAACAGGCGGTGTGTGCATGCTTCATGGCCTTTTTCAACTAAGCTCTCTATTCTTAGTTTACTGTTAAATCCTCCTTTAATTCTTGTTTTCACAAGAATGTCCGTAGTACTCTAAACTAGAATAAAAAGATGCCAAATCTGGTAGGAGTCCTTGTGCTGAATCACCAGTGAGGATTAACGTCACACTCTCAGTTCCAATAATTACCCTCCCATATTTGATTTAGTTGAAAATTCAGGCAGTAACTAACTTTATACTCCAACCTAACTTGATGTCAGCTCTACCGCTGGAACCAGGTCCCTTCCTCTATTGCATGTGCACTGGTGTGCGGTGGGTGAGGAGTCAGCTCTCACAAAGTGCCCATTCTGGGGGTATCTTGAGGCTCAGGCCACCATCGAGACATATGGCCACAGCAGCCGTGTGCAGAGAGGCAGGGCAAGGCTCACCTGTGTAATGCCCACCTTGCAGACTGCCGTGGTGGTTGCAGACGGCGTACAGGTCATACAGGAAGTCCAGCGGGCAGGCGGTGGGCAGGCAGGTCGGCTGCTTCCAGGAAGGCCAGGGGCCCGGCTTGGGGCTGGTGCTTCTCTGGGCCACGTGGGGAGCCATGTTGAGTCCGGAGAGAGGAAACTTCACCAGCGTGGAGAGCTTGTTTCTTCTCTCACCAACTTGACAGAACCTTTTGAGGTGGATGATGAGGATGTCAGGCAGCGTCCACAAACTCAGCTTCACCATCCCCTGCTGGAGGACTTTGCAGTGGGGACACTTCCAGGCATCGTCCTGGGCCAGCTGGAAAGGAAGCCACCCGGACCGTGAGGTCCCCGCGGGGCACGGCCAACCCACCGAAAGGCAGCCAGCCCCCTTCCCGGCCGGGGAGTGGACCCCAGGGCGGGACCTGCTCCTCCTTGGTGTAGAACTGAAAACATTCGTCCAAGGTACAGCTGTGCTGCTGGTGCGCCTGCTGCTGCTGCCACACGCTGTCGGCATCCTGTGCCCGCTCCTCCTGGAGACTCCCGAACAGGCTGCACGGAGAGATCACTCGCGGCGTTCAGGGCTCCCCCACGGAGAGGTTTCGCCCAAGTCTCTACTCACAGCAAACCCGCAGGGAGGCACCGGCCAGAGACACCACAGCGCCCTCCTAAGGGCACCTGGGGACCTGCACGCACCCCTCTGACGGCACTCACTACGTTTTACTGGCATTCGCTTCTCCCCCACCGGCTCCTATAGGGATGGAGTCCTTGGCTTATTACCCGTCTTTGTTTTTCTTGTCCTAGCACAGGGCCTGGCACCTGGTAGGAGATCAATCCATAATTGCTGGACCGAACAATGTCTTTTTCCAAAGTAGGGCTGATACACTCAGTGTTACAGCGGCAGCCAAGCAGAGGGATGAGGAGCACGTACTTGAGCCAGACAGCCCAGGTTCAAAGCCCAGCTCTACCCTGTGTAAGCTGTGTACCCTTCAGCAAGTGCTTAACCTCTCTGTGCCTCGGTTTTATCACACCTCTGAGAAATGATTATAGCCGTATAATCACCTCGGAGTACTCACAATTGGGGGTGATGAAGATGAAATAAATTGCATACACAGAAGGTGCTCAGAGCCGTGACTGGCATGGGGTATTGTGGGTCACTACACTGCTGTTACCAACCCTAACACCACCACCACCACCATGACACCACCATGATGGTCACTGTTATTTACCACAGACAGTTCTCACTACGGGTTCCCAGAGAAACAGGTTACACTGCACCAAGAATGAGTGTGTACTGCCTCATAGCCAAACTGGGGGAAGCCAGGTCCAGGGAACATTTGAGGGTAGAGGTGGGCTCTCTCCCGGCCCTGCAGGAAGCATATAAGTCAAACTCACCGCTCCTTGATGGAGCTATCCCACTCCACAGCTAGCTTGATGTGTGGGGGGCCTCCTGGTTTCCTGAGATGCAAAGCCCTGAGGAGAGAATAAGGAAGCCTGTCAGAGAACATGGAGCCTCTAGCCAGCCACAGTAGTTCATGCCTATAATCCCAGCACTTTGGGAGGCCGAGGCAGGAGGAATGCTTGAGCCCAGAAGTTCAAGACTAGCCTAGGCAACATAGCAAGACTTCGTCTCAACAAAACAATCAAAAAATTAGCCAGGTGTGGTGGTCACACCTGTTGTCCCAGCTACTCAGAAGGCTGAAGCAGAAGGATCACCTGAGCCTAGGAGATCAAGGATGCAGTAAGCTCTGTGATCGTGATACTGCACTCCAGCCTGGGTAACAGAGTGAGACCCTCAACTTGAAAGAAAAAAAAAAGAAAGAAAGAAAAGAAAACATGGAGACTCCCTCCCACAGCGCTATAGTATTTGACAGTCGGTCCCCAACCATGGGCTTGATGTTCCAAACAGAAATATCGAAAACTGCCTATACACCCAGGTCAGCTTTTTGGGGTAGTGGCTAAGTCTGCCATGGGCTTAATCCCAGACCCACCTCTCAGTGCCCTCCCCTCATTCCCATGAGAGCTTGTGAGCTCTAAGGATTTTGGGTTACTATAAGGACACAGATTAACGGTCCCAGTGTAGCCCTAGCTACCTTCCAACAATGTCTGCAGGAAAATTCCATCTGACTGTCCTACACAGACACCCAATAAAATGAAGCCCAAAGAGAGCAGCTAACTTCCCCCCACCACAATGCAGAAGGAGCACCCTCAAGTCTGCCTCCACAGCCTCAGAAATCTTCTGCCAAACCCTCCAACACATGGAAAATCTCAATGTAAGCCAACCGACAGCTCTTGCCAACTGCTTGGGCTCAGCATTATTTCAGAAAAGGCTGAGCTGGGCACAGTTGCTCACACCTGCAATCCCAGCACTTTGGGAGGCTAGGCAGAGGATTGCTTGAGTCCAGGGTTTTGAGACCAGCTTGACAACATAGTGAGACTCTATCTCTACAAAAAAAATCAGAAAATTAGCTGGACATGGTGGCACATGCCTGTGGTCCCAGCTACTCGGGAGGCTGAGGTGGAAGGATTGTCTGAGCTCAGGAGGTCAAGGACGCAGTAAGCCATGAACAAGCCACTGCACTCCAGCCTGGGAGACAGAATGAAACCCTGACTCAAAAAGGAAAAGAAAAGAAAAGAAAAAGCTGGCTAGCCGTAATGCAGAAGAGACAGGATGGAAGCAAAGTAGGGGACATGAAGTTTTTTCCAGAGACCACTGGGAATAATACAAGCAATGGCAATGTCTGCACCCTAAAGAGTGTTTAGATTTTGTTGCAAGAAGAAAGGAGGGATGTCAGAAGAGTCTCAAACTGTCACCAAGATGATTCAATAAAAGTCTATGAGCTTGTAGAAGGCACAAGGTCCTGTGGACCAGCATGGACAGGTGACCTTCCTGCATGAGCCATAGCCAGCAGGGCAAAGGAACAAGGCATACTCTGGAGAAGTCCTCCCAGCTCAGTGAGCCCTGCTGGGTCACGACACTGATCACCCCTCCTCATCTTTCTGAGGATTCGGGAGAAACAAACCGTGAGCATGTTGCTGCCTCCTTCTTCTCCCTCCCTCCTTCCAAAGGAGGAGATGCATCCTACCTAAAACTGCCACCTCTTTGTGCCACAATCCACAGCCTGCTTTTCAACTAGAATCTAAATGTGGGAGTGGAAAAGGAGAACTGGTATCTTCATGCTCCAACTCCTCAGACCATAAAAAAGGTAGAGGTGCAGTTATAGCCTGAAGATCTCTCTTGATGTGGAAATAATCAATCTGAGAGAAGGTGAGATCATCTCCTCGATCACAGCGCTGATTCCAACAGGAAAGTGGGCATTACTTGATGTTTATGGCAGGATGCTACTCCAAGCCATGTACGTAGATGTATGTAGTAACAATCTCCACTCTGAAGGAGCTCAGAAGCTAATGGGAGAAGCCCACAAAAGATCACCATAGCGCACCCAGAGTGTATAGGGACTCAGAGGAAGCACACCCAGGCTGCTCTGGAGGACAAATGACCAGTTAGTCAGGGAAATGGAGAGGGGGAAAGGATCACACAGGCAGAGGGCTCAGCAGGTAGGGGGTAGGGTGTGTGCTGGAATAGCCAAGGCACCATGAGTGGCAGGCCACATGGGGAGAGGGAGGGCTTTGTAGAAGTGTGGACTTTATCCTGTGGGGACTGGGAGGCCACCAAGGATTTATAACAGACAGGTAGGAAAGCAGATGGATGCAGGAAAGTCAAACAGAAGTGATCCAGGTAAGAGGCAATAAGGGCATGAACTTGGGCAATGGTGGTCAACGTGGAGAGGAGGGGAGAGATCCAAGGAAGCACCAGACAAGACCTGATAATGGAATGAATATTAGGAGAAAGTGCGAAGGAGGAATCAGGGATGATGCCTAGCTGAGTTCCTGAGTAGATGGGGGTTCACCATTTAGGCACAAAGACAGGAAGAGGAAAGGGTTAAGCAAAAAGAGTTCAGGCTGGCAAGCATTTAGTTTCCAGTGTCTAGGAGACATTTAAGTAGGATAGGCAGGTCTGCATCCCAGAGAAGAATCTGGGCTGGAGACATGGTTCCCAAAGACCTTGACCTAAAGGTGGCAGATAAAACCAAGAGTAGCATCACCCAGGGATGGAGCACAGGGAGAGAGCAGAGGGCCAAGGCTGGAATGCTGAAACCTGACAACATTTGAGGGCCCCAAAGAGGAAGAGGAACACTTCAAGGAGATAAAAAAAAAATTCTAGGAGGCATATTTCTAGGTGGCATATACATATAGTGGAATATTAGTCTGCCTTAAAAAAGAAAGAAATTCTGACACATGTTACAATATGGATAACCTTGAAAACATGATGTTTAGTGAAATAAGCCAGGCACAGAAGGGTAAATACTTTATGATTCCACTTACACGAGACATCTAGAGAAGTCAAATTAATAGAGAAAGATGGTAGAATGGTGGTTGCCAGGGGCTGGGATGCACCAGTTCCCTTGGGCTGTACTCTTAAAAACGGTGAAAGTGGTCCACTTTATGTTATATGTATTTTATCACAGAAATGTCAAGGAGAACAAGGAGGTGTTGAGATAGGCAGATCAGAGGCTGGATGGAGGCCCTGCGAAGGAGGCAAGGGATTGAGGATGTCAGATACTGAGGGGAGCTGTACCTGCAGGGCTAGAGTTAGGACTGGGCTTAGGGACAGTAGGCAGGGGCCAGACTGCAGTGACATGGAAAGTGAGGGCCAGGAAGGACGTGGCCTGAAGGGAGGGTATTCTTTAGGGTGGGCAATCTGCCATGCAACTGTACTCTGCACCAGTGCTTCTCAAACTACCTGTGGCGAAAGACCATGTAGTCAGTTCGTTTCCAAATCATTTCAGATCAAAACTGTCATTTAAAAAAACATAACATACAAATAAAAATAATAAAATAATACAAAATATAATGGGGGTGGGAAGAGACATACAAGTTCCATTCTTTAAATAAATTATTGTATTCAAATTCAATATATTTTAAATTGCTCGGTCATATTGCTTTAGTATCTTTAAATGTTTCCTCTCAAGTTCTTGTCATGGCCTGGGGACAATCAGCTTGTAGACTGGCACCAGTCTGCGACTCACTTTAAGTATCATGGTCCTCATCTCTAAGGCCGAGTGCCAGGAAGGGGCCCTTCTTCCCGTCAGACCCAAGCAGCCCTGGCTGACATTTCTCCTGCCTCTCTAACTCTGTAAAGCATCTACTCACCAAAAAGGATGTGGATGAGGTGTAGGTAAGAGAACCCTCTGGATTGCCCCCAACCTGGCTCCTGGTCTCTTTAGAAAGGGAGAGGCCCATCTCTACATTATGGATTCAGTCAGCTTTGGGTGACAAGTAAGAAAATCAGAGGGCCTTACTGAGAAGCGTGGGCCTGTGCCAGACAATTAATAATTTATAGAGCAAAACTGACTGGTAGATGCAGCACTGGCCCTTCTGATTGCTTTGCAAAGCTGCAGGCAGAGGAAGGCTATCAAGGCAGGCACGTGGAAAATCAGGAAGTCAAAAGCACCAGACACAGGGTCATACTGGCTTTAACTCTCAGCTGTAGTGCACGATCTTTTAGTGCAGGGCTAATAATTCCGTGGTAGAATTCCACCTACCCTAAGGAGACGTTCCTTAAATTCAGGAGCATGATGTAATGGGATAAATTTGGGTTTTCTAGCAAGACCAACCTGGGTCCAAATCCGAACTTGACCATTAACTAGTTAAATGTGAGCAAGTTAACTAACCTCTGAGAACCTCAGTGTCCCCTCATCTTTGAAGTGGTCATAATAGTACCTCTCTAAACATAAGGGTTCAAAGGACAGAATGTACCCAAGAACCTGACACAGTGGCTGGTGCTGTGGGTAAGTGATCAAGAACAGCTAATATTGTAAGCAATTTTATTGATACACAGCCTAGTATCTAGTCAAATGAGAAAGCTTTCATTCTCTTACTGAACCTGGACCCTTCCCTTACCTGTCAACTGCCCAGTGACAGAGAGGCCGACTGTCCTGAGGGGATAAGTAACTGCAGGCCAGGGAGAGTCCCACAACCCGGATGGAGAACAGAGACCCCAGGTTCTGTTGAGAAAAAAAAAACAGAGATGGATCAGCATGTAGTCCCTAGGCTGATTTACATTAGACTCTTGAGTGGCACATAAATTTTAATGTGTAATATTTTTTATAGTATATTTTGAATATTTCCTTAGTAATTGGCATTCAAAATTGAAAGATAAAGCCTTCATTTCTTTCCAAAGATTCACACTAGACCTTTTAATGTAGTGATCTAACACTGTTTTAAGACATTAAATCTTCCTCCAAAAATGAATGCAGTGTATTTAAATAACAAATGTCTAGCTGAAACAGATAATGGTATATTTAATGGAAAATAAATCTATTATGTTAATTAATTATTTATAAGAAATTTTACCTACTTTATTAAGATGCTTATCATCACCACCATGAGACAATTGTTTAAAAACAGTTAATGTATATTTTACATACCACATGCAAAATAAATATTTATACATTTTTAAATAAGCCACATAAGAAAATACCATCTTAGTTTTTATCTAAGATACACATTTTATCATATTCTAACATTTCTGAAATTGAAGTGAGTCTTACAATCACTTATATGTTTAAATTGAAGATGCCTCTTAAAAAATTCAATGGGGCTGGGCTCAGTGGCTCAGCCTGAAATCCCAGCACTTTGAGAAGCCGAGGTGAGTGGATTGTCTGAGCCCATGGGTTCAAGACCAGCCTGGGGAACTTTGCAAGACCTTGTCTCTACAATAAATCAAAAATTAGCCGGGCGTGGTTGCACATGCCTGTGGTTCCAACTACTTGGAAGGCTGAGGTGGAAGGATCACTGGAACCCAGCAGGTTGACACTGGGGTGGTTGTGAGTGTGCCACTACACTCCAGCCTGGGCAACAGAGTGAGACTCCAACTCAAAAAAAAAAAAAAAAAATTCAGTGGAACAAATAACCAAATTCAAAAACGAGCAAACAGCTTAGGCAACATAGTAAGACCTTGTCTCTATTAAAAAAAAAATTAAAAATTAGCCAGGCGTGGTAATGCATGCCTATAGTCCCAGCTACTCAGGTGACTATGGGTGGAAAAATCCCTTGATCTCAGGAGAGAGAGGCTTCAGTACCACGGCACCCTAGCCTGGGTGATAGAGCAACACCCTGTCTCCAAAAGGAAAAAAAAAAAAAAAAAAAAGGGCAAAGGACTTGAATACCTGAATCTTTCTCCGAAGATATACAGATGGCCAACAGGCACATGAAAAGTTGGTCAATATCATTAGTCATTAGGGAAATGCAAATCAAGACCTCAAAGAAGCACCACCTAACACTCATTAGGATGGCTATAATTTTAAAAAATTAAAATTTTTAAAATGGAAAATAGTAAGTGTTGGCAAAGAGGTACAGAAGCTGGAACCCTGTGCATAGCGGTGGAAAGATAAAATGGTACAGCTGCTATAGAAAACAGTTTGGCAGTTTGTCAAAGGGTTAAATGTAGAACTACCATATAATCCATTAATTCTCCTCCTAGGTATATTCCCAAAAGAATTGAGAGGAGGGTCTCATAGAGATATCTGTATACCCATGTTCACAGCATCACTACTCACAATAGTCAAAAGGAAGAAATAACCCAGTTGCCCGTCAGCAGATGAATGGATAAACAAAATTTGGTATAAACACAAAATGGAATTTTATGCAGCCTTAAAAATGAAGGAAATTCTGACAAATGCTACAACGTGGATGAACCTTGAAAATAAGAAGCTTAGTGAAATAAGCCAGACACAAAAGGATAAATACTGTATAATTCTAGTTATATGAGATATCTAGAACAGGCAATTTCATAGAGACAGAAAGTAGAATGGTGGTTACCAGGAACTGGGAGAGGAGAGAACGGGGAACTGTTGTTTAAGGGGTATAAAGTTTTTGTTGGGGGATGATGAAAAAGCTGGGGGTAAAGATAGTAGTAATGTTACACAACACTGTGAACATAATTAATATATACTTATGAATGGTTAAAATAAATAAATGATATATATCTTTATCCCCCCAAAATTCATGGAGTCTTCATTCAAATAAAAGAAATATAGTTCTAAAATTGGTCACCGGTGACCTTGGTTACAACTAGAAATTTTTTTCTTCCAAACGGACAAAATTAAAAGGCAGATATCTTTTAAAATTTTTAATAAAATAGAAGCCGAATTATGACAGGAAGGAGAGGAAAGAAACATAATTCCAGGAAAGAAGAACAACATATGGGAAGAAAGAGTGATCCAAAACAGATGTAGAGAGGTGTAAGTCAACCCCTCAGACCATGACAGCTGATGTGCGCAGGGAGCAAGAGGACACGAGGATGGAAGGTACCCCAAAACCTGGCTGTAGAGGGTCTTGAGTATGAAGCTTGTATGTCTAAATGAATTATAATTACAATCTGTGGTGTCAACAAAGAGAAAATCATTGGCTGGGGCTTTGATTCAGGCTTGGTCACAGAAGGGTGTTCTTCCTAAGGAGAATGCTAATTTGAATCTGGAGGAGAAAGCTATTTTTCCTCTCTCACCCCAGTGGAGCCTTGCTCTTGGACGGCAAGAGTCCCCATCTGCACCATCATCTACATGGAGGTAGCCTGCCATGCCTGCACACACGGAAACAGTTCTGGCCTCACACACCCAAGCTTACAAAGTGCCATAAAAATGTTTTGTTAATGATGGCTCTTTTTTTCATGATACATACAAATTAATTCTGTCCAGCAAATTGGTAAGAAACCTTTTCCTGTCCTCTGTTCTTGGCTAGGGAGATTCATTTTCAAACCTTCAATACATGTTCATGACATTTAATCTCTTCAGCTCAAAGTTGAGAATCCTAAACTCTTTCCAAATTATTGTTATATTGAGCCGGTAATTAATATAGTAGTAAAAGAATTATGGCCTGGGACCCTTGCAACCATTTAGAATACATTATTCCTACAGAAAATCATGCCCAACCACACACGTCTACCAATGAATCTGTGGGAAAGCATCCACGGCCGAATTGGAGGCTGCCTGTTATTAGGATTTTGCTGGCCCCATGGATTGCTTGAACAGTTTCTAAAACTAAAATGACTGCAGGGGAGTGGAGGCAAAAGTATAGGTGTATGAGTAAGTGGAGAACAAGGACAGCTAAGTTAAATGTTCACATAAAAGCAGCTTCATCCACTTCAACCATCAGTAGCCCAAGGTCTGGGGAAGGCTAAAACTATCGCTAGATATGCTGACCTACTTGGAGAGATGTTAGGGTTTCTAATTTAGGCACTTTGGCAGATCTACTCTGTAGTAAACTGAATAAAATTCTTCAGAGATAAAAGTTGGTACAAATGTAGTGAAGGTCTTTAACAAAGTAATATTTGGTATAAATCCTAAATCAAACATATGTTTTTTTCCTAAGCTGGAAGGCACATGAATCATGAGTAATTATCTCTGAGATAAGTTTGGTATGTTCCCCAAATGAAAAGCTCTATGAGAATAGTTAGGAGAAAACAAGAATCTGATGCTGCTGACCTGTCCCTAAAATTTCAACATATTCTGTGTCAAGTAACCATCTGAATCGTTTCTGATATTATAGGAGATTAAAAAAAAAAGATTTTTAAATGTGTTGTTTTTGTTTGGAAACTATCAATCTGAGAATAAATCAGCAAACAAGGTAAAACATTGTTATCCTTTGAGGTTTTATCTCAGTTTTTAAAAAAAAACAGACAAAATTCTTTAATATCTAGATTTTCATATTGGACACGATTATCCATTTAAAAAGTTTCCAAAGAAATTATATCTCAAATTCCTTGAAATGTTTGATGCAAACACATAGTTATAATTTATTACAATATGCCTATCCTCTAGGAAAACCTATGGTAAGCCATAAATATACAAAATTGAGAACACCAATGTTAATGCCATTATTTATTCCAATAGTGTTTTGAAAGCTTTAGCAGGAAAAACCTCTATCCATAAAAACTATTTTGTGATGCCACAGAGTAAAACACCACGGGCTATAAAATGGTTACTTTCTTGCACATAAATCAAAGTTGTTTTGTTAAGCAGTAAGAGAACTTTCATTAATCGCAAATTCTCTTCTCTCCTAAGCTACCCCTGGGTTCTACCACCTCCCAAAGAACAAAGACATACTGACCTGTACGGGGGCCTCACTCTTCATGAGATAGCGGACCTTACTGAGGACAGACTGCTGGAGCTGGGCCCAGGAAATGGCTCTGTCTTCCCTTATAAGGAAAGGTGGCCCAAACCTGAAAATCCAAGAAAATCTGCTTATTCTAGCAAAGAAAAAACCAACAACACCCAACAGTAATGAGCAGTTGCTCTACTATAGTTTCCTCTCATTCGAGTAAGTGAAGAATTAAGTCAAGCACAACAATCCAACAGTTAAAAAAGAAACCCTATTTAAAAGTGGGCATAAGGCCAGGAGCAGTGGCTCAAGCCTGTAATCCCAGCTCTTTGGGAGGCCATCGTGAGAGAACTGCCTGAGCCCATGGGTTCGAAACCAGCCTGGGCAACTTGGCGAGACCTCATTTCCACAATAAAGCAAAAAAAACTAGCCGGGCATGACAGCGCGTGCCTATAGTTCCAGCTACTTGGAAGGCCTCATGAGGCAGAAGGATTGCCTAAGCCCAGCCAGTCAAGGCTGGGGTGGCCGTGAGCGTGCTACTGCACTCCAGCCTGGGTGACAGAGTGAGACTCCAACTAAAAAAAGAAAAAAAAAAAAAAAAAAAGTGGGCACAGGATCTGAATAGACATTTCTCAAAAGAACACATTCAAACGGCCAACAGGCATATTAAAAATTGTTCAACATCACTAATCATCAGGGGAACACAAATCATAATCACAATGCGATACCATCTCACTCTAATTAGAATGGCTATTATCAAAAAAACAAAAATTAGTGTTGGCAAGAATACGGAGAAAAGGGAACTCTTATACACCGTTGATGGGAATGTAAATTAGCACAGCTGTTATGGAAAACAGTGTGAAGGTTTCTCAAAAAACTAAAAATAGAACTACCATATGATCCAGCAATCCCACTATTGGGTGTTCATCCAAAGGAAAGTAGATCAGTTACATCAGAGATATCTTCACTCCCACGTTTATCACAGCACTATTCACCATAGCAAAAATATGGAATCAACCTAAGTGTGCATATACTGGTGGGCAGATAGAGAAAATGTGATATACAATGGAATACTATCCAGCCATAAAATTTTTAAAAATAACAAATTTCTGTCATTTGAGACAAAATGGATGAGCCTTCCAGGATGAGCCTGGAAGACATTATGTTAAATGAAATAAGACAGGCACAGAAAGATAGTGAATGTTCCCACTCATATGTGGGAGCTAAAAAAGGTGACCTCATAGGAGCAGAGGGTAGAACAGTGGCTCTGAGATGCTGGTAAGAGAGGAGGGGAGGAAAGGGGGATAGAAAGAGGTTGGTTGAAGAATGCAAAGTCACAGCTACTCAGGAGGACTAAGTCCTAGTGTTTGATAGCACTGTATGGTGACTATAGTTAACAATTTATTGTGTGTTTTCACATAACTAGAAGAGGGATTTTGAATCTTCCCAACACAAAATGATAGATGTTTAAGGTGACGGATATGCCGATTACCCTGATTGGATCATTACACGTGGTATACATTTATCAAAATATCACTCTGTGCCCCATAAATATGTACAATTATTACATGTCAATTAAAAATAATATAAACTTTTAAAACAGCCAAGCACGATACAAATTTGTCAATCAGAGGACCTCTTTACAAACAAAGGCATTGCGATGTAAATAGAGGCCCAGAGATGTAAAGCCAGAGAGACACTGCGATGTCAACAGATTGCTCCAAATGACCAGCTGGCTGTTTTCCTAAAGCAGGAATCAGAGTAAGAGGGCACAGGAGCCAGAGGAATCCAACATAGAGATACATCCAGATGGCATGATTGTTGGTTTTGCATGTCAGGAATATTCTCCTAACTGGGAATGTTTTTCATATCTCAAGTGAATGAGCACATAGCCATGGGCCTGTAGTGCACAGAACACTGGATGAGCCTGTGACTGTTGGTCCCAGTTCTGCCATGGGTATCCCTGGACAAATCATTGGTCACTCACTGCTCCCTGGCCACTCTGCAGGTTGTGTGAAGAGCCAATGGGGTAAGAATGTGAAACTGTTGTTATATGGGCAGACCAGTTTCTTTAACTAATTCTGTAGTATGAGGCAGTCCCAGGAACGAGATATATCCTTGTTCACAAGCTTTGGGTGCACATGACTAATTGTTCCTTTAAGATAAAGTTCCAGAAGTAGAAAGGCAAGATCAAAGTTATTTATTCCCAAACTGCCCTCCAGAAAAAAGCCATGCCAATTAACCTGACCTGCTGGACTCTGGCCTAGAATAAGTATTATCAATTTCTAAAAATTATTTTAACAAACTGAAAGATTAAGAATAGTATCTTGCTGTTGCAATCAGAATGCGTTCGACTACTAATGATGCTGAATATTTTTGACCCATGCTTCTATTTCATCTCTGCAGTTCATTTCAGCAAGAGTATTTGTCTTATCAATTTAAGAGCTAGGATTTATATGATGTATATAAATCCTTCACTTCCCACATGACATAAATATTTTTCCTCTTTTGTCCTTTGCCTTTCAAATTTGCTTTTGGTTTAAGCAGTTACTTCTCTAGTCAATCTGAAATGTATACATATGAATTTGTGACTGGAGTAAAAGATTGACTATTTAAAATAAAAAGAAAGAAATCAATTAGCCCAGTCTTGGTGAATAATTCATTCACTCTCTAGTAATATGAAATATACCATTTTTATAACCTAATAAATACTTATAGATATTTAGTCTATTCTGTTTCATTGATTTAATTGTATATTATTCTGCCCACATCATAAAAAATTAAAACTTTATTCTGGTTTGTTTGGTTTTTTGTGAGTAGGTGTCTCATTCTGTCACCCAGGCTGGAATGTGGTGGCACACTCATGGCCACCACAGCCTCGACCTGCTGGGCTTAGGCAATCCTTCCACCTCAGCCTTTCAAGTAGCTGGAACCACAAGCATGCACCACCATGCTCAGCTAATTCTTTGATTTATTGTAGAGATGAGGTCTTGCCAAGTTGCCCAGGCTGTTCTAGGATCCCTGGGCTCAGGCAGTCCTCTCGCCTCCACCTCCCAAAGTGCTGGGATTACAGGCATGAACCACCACACCTGGCTTTATTGTGTTTTAATAGAACCCCTCTTCCTCTTTTATCCTTTCCCAATATTTTCTGGTTATCCTTATCAGTTTATTATTCCAGACACATTTTAGAAACATTTTATCCTCTTATATCTCTTAATGTAATTATATCTTTCAAACACTTTATTTGGACTATATAAGAAAGCTATCTGTTTTTGTATATTTGTTATATACAAAATATACAGTCACTTTCCTGAATCCTTTCATTAGTTCTAATCACTTTCCAGTTCTTGCTTTTTCTGGACAGACGACCAAATAATCTACCAATTGTGGTAATTTTATCTCCTCTTTTCTTATAGCCAGTTTCTCTGAGCACTGCATCGCCTAGGTCTTACAACCATAACATAAAATAACAGTGGTGAGGGCAATAATAATTGTTTCTCCAATGGACAAGAAAGCTTCTGATGTTTAATGATTAAGAATGATTTTAGCCATCTGCTTAAGACACTTATTTCCAGTTCTCTTGATCAGAAAGTACCCATTCTCTACTCCCAGTTCATAAACCTGGAAATAGATATTTAATTTCATTCTAAACAAAATCCCAAGTATAAGTCTACAAATCTCAGACATCACATGAAAAAGGACAAAGTTAAACATACCTGCTAGCCTGCTGCCCTGACCCCACCAAGTTACAGAAGAGGATTAGCACCTTGTTCTCACTGTGGAGAGAGAGAGAGAATCGCTGACTCTCACGGGCAGCCAAGAGTGGGGAGACCGACAGGCCCGATGGATGAGCTGGAGGAAAGAGAATGACATGTGTTTGTATTCCTAAAGGAGCTGCCTCATTGGGTCAGAACTTAGGCTTCTCTTTCTCTTTGGGCATCTATTAACCATCAGTGGGAGAACACTAAAGGACTTTAGGGGAGGAGGTAAGAACGTTCCTGGTACTTGCACCATCAGACACCCGGCACACAAACAACATCAACACAGTAGTGAATCTGCTGTGGTGTTCAGCCAATACTTTAAAAGAGGAACAAAAATTTAATTAATGCTTTGGGAAGCAATCTTGAAAAATACTCCAAAATAATTTTGGTTGGTTTTATGCTTTCATCAAAGAGCACCGAGTAGCCACTCTCTTAGAAAGCCAACATAAGAAGTACACAGAGAAGGTGAGACTCTTTATCACTGGGGAAGTAGACCGAATTGGACTATCTTCCAGCACCACTCAGTTTTGAAATTTTGACTTTCAAGGAAAAGATGTGTCACCCGTGATTGAATTTGAAATGAGGACTTGTTTCACTGGATTATAACATTGTCAGCATCAGTCAATGTCTCGATCCAGATTCCAGTGTCCAGAGTCTCGTCAATGCTGAGAACCACAAACATCCGGTTCCCAAAGCCTGCTACCAAGGCTGGCTGAGGATATGGGGTCAGGGCACAGGATTCATCTAGGGTATATTGTAACACTGGTGCAGGATTCTTTAAGCATGGGCCTTCTTGACTGGCTAATTGGAATAAAATGTATGCTGACCTACAAATAAAAGACTGATAGGAATTGACCATCTTAGCCAGTCTAGGGTTTAGGAAAAACAAGCATTAGGAAGTGGAATTTTTAAAAGTCATTTAGTAATCTCTTTGTCCATCTACTTCTCAAATTTGAAGAAATTTTACTTCAAACACAGACCTTGAACTGTAAGAGACCTGAAGACAGATTACCCCCACATCTGTACTGAAAACTGTGGTACCCAAGGCCAGCAGCATCAGCATCATCTGGAAACTTGTTAGACATGCACACTCACAGTCCCCACCCTAGGCCCACTGAATCATAAATTCTGTGGGTGGAGCCCAGAAATCTGCTTTCATAAGCCTTCCATGTGATTCTAATACTAAGGATTTTGGAATCTTTGTACTAGCTACATAATTTCTATCTTTCTTTCTTTCTTTTTTTTTTTTTGAGACAAGGTCTCACTATGTCACCCAGGCTGGAATACAGTGTTGTGGCATGATTACTGCTCACTGCAGCCTCGACCTCCTGGGCTCAGGTAATCCTCTTATCTCAGCCTCCCAAGTAGCTGGGACTACAGGGCTAATTTTTAAAACTTTTTTTTGTAGAAATGAGGTCTCGTTATGTTGCGCAGGTTGGTCTCAAACTTCTGGACTCAAGCAATCCTTCTACCTCAGACTTCCAGAGTGCTGTGATTACAGGCATGAGCCACTGTGCCTGGTCACTAGCTGAATAATTTTTAATATTAAACATCTGTACACTAAATATCAGGGAAAATAAGCCTGAAAATTCCAAGTGCTAAAACTAGATGTTTTATGCCTTAACACCCAAAGAGTATCCTCAAATCTATAACTCATAACATCCAAGTAAAATTATATAAAGCACTATTGTACCTGAGAGTGTCCCTTGACCTGGTGACGGAGGGACTTGGAAGGCATACACATTATCTCCCTCTGTAATGGTATTCAGGTCCTCTTCATCAAAGAAAGACCGCTGGAATCCATTGGGATACAGTTCAACCAAGATAACCTAGAATGAGAAGGATCATTTTCTCTCTGATTTCTCAAAGACAACTGAACAGATAAGAACTTTAAAAATGACTGATAGTTTTAAAACTCCTTTTTACCCTTTCCTTCCAAGTGGTTACATATTTTTAGTAGTGAAACACAGCAAGTATAACAATTAGATTGATCACAGATATCTCAACTGCAACAAAAAAGAAAATTGAAAATCTAAAGTTTTATACCTAGCTAAACTATCATGGAAGACTGAGAATAAAATAAAGCCCTCTTCAGGTAAACAAAAAAAATTAGTATTTACCACTAACAGAGCTCAATTGAAAGAACTTCTAAATAGAGTTATCAATCTTTTTCACATTTTGTCATACATATACATATAGTTTTATGGAACATTGAGGTAAACAGGAGATGGTTTTATAGTGGAGGAGAGAGGTGACTGGCTTGGGGCAGGGGGGTCCTGGCTGCCCTAGATCCAACTCTTCTACTTCAAGGGCTGAAGAAATCATATCTCAGCGTACATAACCCATTCATGGTACACTGGATAGAAAGTTCTCTTACAAAAGATACATGTATAAAATATCTTAGGCAAGCCCCTTGGGTCCCCTCCCACTGTGGAAGCTTTTCTGTCCTCTCAGTCAATCCTGCTTTCAAAAAAAACCTTCATTTCTTTTCTTTATTTTTAAATAGAGGCAAAGTCTCCCTCTGTTGCCCAGGCTGGTCTCAAACCCCTGACCTCAAGCAATCCTCCCACCTGAGCCTCCTAAAGTGCTGGGATTACAGGCATAAGCCACCACACCCAGTCTGAGATCTTGATTTTTTTTTAACTGAATCAGAAAAAAAAATTTGAGATGTAAAAAGAAATGATGAACCAAAGAAAACAGTAAACATTGATCAATGTAAATATTGATTGATGATATAAAACTATAATAATAACTATTACTACTAGTACAACTGGGGAAGATGGGGAAAGGGATTAAAATACTGGACAACAATATCCATCCATCAACAATATCTAAATCAAAAAGGCATAAGAGAAACTAAAGCATACCAAGCTCTTTGTGCTGTTTGGGAAGACTACCATCAGACTTTGTTAATTATGCATGTCAGCATTTAAATAAAAACCATTAAAGAAACAGAAATATAATACATATGTCCCAAAACAGAAGAGATAGAATAAAGAAAAGCTGCTCAGTCCAAAAGAAGCAGTAAAGGGGAAGGGGGACCAGAAAAAAAGGAAATACATTTTTTAAAAAGGGTAAGTAAAAAGTATAAAATAAAATGACATAAATAAATTCAAATATATCCACAATCATAGATAATAGAAGTGGAATAAACTTGCCAGTTAAACAAAACATCAAAATAGATTCTAAGTTCTAGTAAAAATGCCCACCCTTCACTAACATCCCAAGTGATTCCTAGCTCCAGGAACAAATACATCACCCATTCAAATTCCTGACAGTCCTTTTATGTCCTTAATAATTCAAATTATCTCAGTCTCAGATTTCCCCCTTTTGATCTTTTTTAGTGTCATTTTCCCCCCAAGACTCTTACCCGCTGTCCTTCTCTTTCTCTCGCTCTCTTTCTCTGTAGGCCCCTATAGAGCACTCTAGAGCTTACAAAGCAAGGTACACACATTTTCTCTCATTTGAGATCATCATAAACATCCTACAAGGTAGTGCTAGAGGTCAGAAGGATTGACTACATAGGACAGGAAGAAGCCTCTATAAAACTATAATAATAACTATTGCTACTGCTGCAACTGGGGTGACAGAGGCTCAGTAACCAAGATAGTTATATGGATACAGACATATGTAAAAGGTCAACAAACCACCACCTTAAGATATGTGTACTTTAGTGTACACGTGGTATACCTAACAAAAAGGTTTGAAAACTTTTTTATGGTTTGAAAAAAATCCCATGAGGTAGTCAAGGAAGTGTGAATTTTCCATTTTACAGTTAAGGAAACAGAGAACCAATCACGAAAGCTAGAGTTGCTGAATCACAATTAGAACAGGTGGAGCCCCTCCCAACCTGCCAATGACTTTGCACCACCATCACCTCCTCCCTACCTTTCATGGGACCGCTTCAGGTAATGTGAATCTACTTCTTTTACCAAGACTCCTTTAAAAAAAAAAAAGTAGGAAACAGCCATTCCACCTTCCCCCATATCACCTCTCTTATGTCACACATCCTTGGTTTCCTCGGCAGTTCCTCATGTTTCATTTAGTGTCTGTCCAGTATCCTGGTTTGTATTCCCAGAAGTGAATATGTAGAATAATGACTAAGCTATGAAATCAAACCATCACATTTGAAATCAAATCCCGGCTCCACCACTTACTAGCTGTGTGATGTTGGGTAAATCACTTAACCTCTCAGGATTTATTTTCCTCATTGGTAAAATGAGGATAATTATTTCTACTTCACAAGATGACTGTGATGAAATCAGCTACAATTACAAAGCTCATAGAACTGTACCCGGCAGTTAGTAAGCACTACTGAGGGTTAGCTATTGTTGGAATTATTATTATTTTTAGTTGCCCAGGGTAGAGTGCAGTGGCATACTCACGGCCACCCCAGCATCAACCTGCTGTGCTCCAACGATCCTTCTGCCTCAGCCTTCCAAGCAGCTGGAACCACAGGCGTGCACTACCATGCCCAGCTAATTTTTTTTATTTATAGTAGAGATGAGGTCTCACCAAGTTGCCCAGACCGGTCTCGAGCCTGTGGGCTCAGGCAATCCACTCGCCTCAGCCTCCCAAAGTGCTGGGATTACAGGCTGAGCCACTGAGCTTGGCCTATTGCTGGAATTATTATGGTCATAATCATCATCTCCTTTTTGGAAGGCACAGGTGTCCTTTTCTGGCCATTCTATGTAAATGCAGGGAAAGTCAAGGCCCAGTCATCACAGACACCAGACACTATTGATCAAACCGAAACCCATGAGTCATGCTGGAGTCATCCACAAATTGGCCTACATAGCCTAGACAGCTAGCTGGCTCAGTTAGCATTCTGTCAACCAATGACCAGGCCCCAGTGCAATCCCAACACACCTCATCTGCAGGGACGCCTCCTTCATCTGCCACCATCTTCCTCAGGGCTGCCACTGTGCTAAGGATTGGCACGGCCAGGCCCACCCGAAGGAACCGCTGGCTCTTAGAGAGGAAGACCAAAGTGACGCTCAAGAATCTGGAAAACAGGAAGGGGGTAACATCCTCAAAGGACTGACTGAACTGTCAACAATACTACTGACACTTCAATTTCAGCACTTGAGTTAATCTCTGCTTCCTGGTTAGGTCCCTGCATTTTAAGTATACTGTCACCTGGTGGCAGTGGAGAGCCATATCACCTAAGCTGCCCTGCTACAGAGTTAAAAGGTTTGTTTAAGAATCACCATACGCATCTCTGACCTCAAGGTTCTATATAGTTAAATAGATCATCTTACGCAAACTGACGTTTGAAAAGTAAAGTGGTCAAGCTGCTTCTTCCACTCCAAATCAACACTATTGATGATGTTCTCTTTCCTTAATGAGATTCTACCTTGCTTCCACATCCCACTATCCTGACCATTACAATAAGGCCCACTCTTGCAACTACTGTTTCTTTTATCCTGTCTATACTTTAGTAATTATTCAAGTCTCACAGAGAATTGGGAGAGCTGGGATTTGAACCTGCACAGTCTGGCACCAGAGTCAGTGGTCTTAACTACTACACTACACTGTGCCAGGCTAGGAAGCTCAGATCGTGCCTATAGGTAGACATTATCTGATGGTATCACTGATGATGGTAGAAGCCATGCTATAGCATAAGCCAACATTATACTTGTGGTGTAGAGATTCAGCAGCACAGGATTTTATGGCAGAAAGAGAGATTGAGTTGCCAGGGAAGACTTTCTGAAGATGTCATGTCTTCGGCTGCATCCTAAAGATGTCATCTTCAGCTGTCAACAGGTGGAGGGTAAGATAAATGGTACTTCAGGAGGTGGGGAACAGAAAGAGGAAATGCCTCTGTCTCAATGTCAGAGAAGGTACTGCATGCATATTGCAAATTTCCAATATTCCAAGATGCTGACGTTGGCCGGTTGCCTTAATAGTCACTTCTACAACTTGGTCTCTGTGAGGCAGGCTCACATCACACACTTTCTTTTTTACTTGAGTTGGGGTCTCACTCTGTCGCTCAGGCTGGAATGCAGTGGCACAGTCATTGCTCACCACAGCCCACCCCTCCTGGGCTCAGACAATCCTTCCACCTCAGCCTCCCAAGTAGCTGAGACTACAGGCATGCAGCACCATGCCCAGCTAATTTTTTTTTTTTTTAGAGGTGATGTCTTGCTATGTTTCCTAGGCTGGTCTTGAACTCTTGGGCTCAAGCAATCCTCCTGCCTTGGCCTCCAAAATTGCTGGGATTACAGGTATGAACCACCACACCCAGCCAGGCTTCTTTCATAGCGCCGAGCCCCACTGCACCTCTTATCCAACACCATCTCCGCTTTTCTTCTTTCCTCCTCTCCCCTGGACAACCCTCTCCCTCTTTCTTTCCTCCTTAAAGAAATCTTTTTTTCTATACATTCACAAAGCAGAAAAAAGTTTCTGAAATAAAGCGGGGAAAAGCAGGTGGCAACAGATTTTTTCTAGTTTTCCTCCCGTCAGGACTGTGCCAGCTTCTGAATGGGCAAAAGAACTAAGCCTGGTGATGGTGCTGATAAGCAGAAGTATTCGGTTCACAATTCCTTCCTCCACTAGAAAAGGGACACAGCCACCTTTCACTTTAATTGTCACATTCAATAACCAAGCATCGCCCAGCTACAAGACTGGTTTCTAGAGAAATATTGGCTAAGAACCAAAAAAGGAAAAAATGGCAGCTGCAAGGCCAGAAGGTTCCCATGATGAGTAAGGATGAAAGTCAAGTTCATGTCACGCGAGCCGCAACACTCACGTACCTTGTCTGACGCAAGGGGATAGGTAGGGACACACACAGGAAAGGATCAAAGGTGTTGCTCTGTTTCAGGCAGTGGGGACAAGTCAAGGAAGATCTGTGAGGGCAGAGAATAGAGATGAAAGTTTAATCACATGTAAACAACGTGGGGTCCCTTAAAAAGTTACATAAAAATTACCATTGCATTTCCACACCCAGGAATTTCACTCCTAAGTACATACTTAGAAGAACTGAAAACAGGTATTCAAACAGATACTTGTGTGCAAATAGTCATGGCAGCACTAATCACGATAGCCGAATGGCAGAAACCATTCAAGTATCCATCAACAGATAAATGGGCAAACAGAATGTGGTGGTGTCCACACAGTGGAATACAACTAGTCATAGAAAGGAAAGGAGTCTTCAACCATGCTATGATGTGGACGAACCTTGAAAGCACTATGCCAAGCCAGGCGTGGTGGCTCATTCCTGTAATCCCAGCACTTTGGGAGGCAGAAGCTAGAGGATTGTCTAAGCCCGCGGGTTCAAGACCAGCCTAGACAACATGGTAAGACCTCATCTCTACAATAAATCAAAAAATTAGTTGGGTTTAGTGGCACATGCCTGTAGTTCCAGCTACTTGGAAGGCTGAAGTGGAAGGATCGCCTGAGCCCAGCAGGTTGAGGCTATGATGGCTGTGAGCTTGCCACTGCACTCCAGCCTGGGCGACAGAGTGAGACTCCAACTCAAAAAAGAAAGAAAGAAAGAAAGAAAGAAAAAGACAGCAATATGCAAAGTGAAAGAACCAGACACAGAAGTCCACTTACTGTATACTTCCATTTCTAGAAAACATCCAGAACAGGTCAAGCCACAGGGACAGAAAGCAACCTGGTGGTTGCCAGGGGCTGAGGGAAGCAGGAATGTGGACTAACTGCTAACTGGGGACTGGGTTTTTTTTTGAGGTGATGAAAACGAGCAGGAACTAGAAAGAGGTGGTGAATGGACATGTTCACTTTAAAATGGTTCGTTGTTACAGGACTTTCGCTTCAATTAAAAAAAAAAAGTTTAGTCCCACGTATTGGTGCAAGGAGTATGAGAATACAGAAAAAGAAATACAGCATGCCAATTGCAAGCTGAAGGAATTTGGGGACCATCTTTTCCCCCTGGTTCTCAGCTTCACTGTGCCCCTAGAACCACACAAGAAATTTTTTTTTTTTTACTTTCAGAGACATAGTTACAACATAGATGGGAAGGGGTCCAGACATCAGATTTTTTTTTTTTTGAAATTCTGGGAGCTTTTAAATTTCCCAGTGATGCAGTGTTCATCCAGGGTGGAGGGCCACCACTGCAGTCCCTCCTTATTGTACAGATGAAGAAACAATCAAGTACAGAAAATAGCAGCTAATAATAATAGCTAAACTGAAACAGCATTTACTAAGACCTGGACACCATTCTGAGCACTGAGCATATATTGACCCATTTACTACCCATAGCAACTAATATTATACCCACGTTACAGAAGAGAAAATTGAAGCATAGAGAGGTTAAGTAACTTGCCAAAGGACACACAGCTCTTAAGTAACAAAGCTAGGCTCAGTTTCCATAACCCGCATTCATCATCATCCCTACATTCTTTAGTGTAAGTGAGTAAAGCATCATTTGGTTCAGAGTAGATATACATACTGTTTATTTATATTCTTACAACTCTTTTACATTTAATACTCTCATTATACCCCACAATTTTAAAATTAAAAATTAAAAAAAATGAAATTTAATACTCTCTTAACTTTAAAATGAATTGCTGAAAATGAAGTGCAATTTTTATATTCCACATGGGTGTTCCAATTTTATTTATATAATTGTGTAACATATCAGACCCTTTCAAGATATAAGGGATTTCTGGCCATGCATGGCAGCTCATGTCTATAATTCCAGCACTTTGAGCTCTCAGCTCGAGCCCAGGAGTTCAAGACCAGTCTCGGTAACGTGGCAAGATCTCACCCCGACAAAACTCAAAAAATTAGCTGGGCATGATGGCGTGTGCCTATAGTCCTAACTACTCAGGAGGCTGAGGCAGAAGGATCGCTGAGCTCAGGAGGTGGAGGCTACAGTGAGTAGTGATCATGCCACTGCACTCTAGCCTAGGTGTCAGAGTGAAACTCTGGTTCAAAAAAGTAATTAAAAAAAACAGATTTCTGTACACTCTATTACTTCTAAAATCTGCATTCACTTCCTTGAGGACGCAGACCTAGCCTCCACTGGCAGTCTGGCTCTGGGGTCTGTCCTGTTACCACTGGACAGCCTTACCAGGATGAGTCAGCAGATGAACCAGAGACAGTATCAGAGTAGTTTTTCTGAGTTCCTGTGGAAAGCGCCAGTCCTGCCCAATTGGTTTTTCACTGAGCAAACAGGAAAAACCTATTGGATATCAGTTATCAGAATGTCAACTTGATTTTAGAAGACAGACTCTAGTACTGAACGTTCAATGGATCGTGCCATCTCTGCTCATTTCCCTCTAGAAGAACCATGGTCGTGTTTTCAGTAAAAAGTATCATGTCAGATAGAGACGCCAGCCAGCAGGGGCGCCTGACATTTCTGGGGTCTCCTCTAGAATCTTGTTTCTCCTCCAATCTTTCTCCGCCTTCACCCATCATGGACCCAGGCATAAAATTGGCCTGAAGGATATGTTTTTGTTGTTGGGAATTTCCATATTCCTGTTTCACAGTTAAATGAACAAATAAAAGAGAATATTTTTCACTGACATCTTAATTTTTTTAAGCCTACCAAAACTAAGGTGGGATGAATTTTTCTTTGTAGCATTGCAGCATATTAATCTAGGATATTAAACCATGAACTCCCGTCAGATAGCAAGAGATGTGTGATTTGAAAAACAAAATAGAATGGGCTCATTTTATCTATAAAGAATAAAGAAAATGTAGTGTTTTCATAGCAAACTACAGAAAGGATGTGAAATACACCTGTTTCTCAAAGGCTGAAAAATGGGCTGGGCATGGGGGCTCACACCTATATTCTCAGAACTTTGGGAGGCTGAGGTATAAGGATTGTTTGAGCCTAAGAGTTCGAGACCATCCTAGGCAACATAGCAAGACCTCATCTCTATTAAATTTTTTAAAAAATCAGGGCCAGGTGCGGTAGCCATGGTTGCGTTAGGTGGATTGCTTAAGCTCAGGAACTCAAGACCAACCTGGGCAACATGATGAAACCTTGTCTCTACAAAAAAAAAAAAAAATTGTTAATTAGCCAGATGTGGTGGTACATGCCTGTAGTCCCAGCTACTCGAGATGCTGAGGTGAAAGGATCACCTAAGCCCAGGAGATCAAGGCTGCCATGAGCCGTGATTGTCAAGATCATGCCACTGCACTCCAGTCTGAGTGATAGAGATCAGGCCAGGTGCTGTGACTCATACCTATAATTCTAGCACTTTAGGAAACTGAAGAGGGAGAGTCACTTGAGCTGAGGAGTTCAAGATTAGCCTGGGCAACATAGTGAGACCCCTCTCTCTAAAAACAATTTAAAAAATAAAAAATAGGCTGGGTGTGGTGACTCAAGCCTATAATCCCAGCACTCTGGAGTTCAAGATCAGCCTGGGCATCATAGTGAGATCCTTGTCTCTAAGAACAATTTAAAAAATAAAAAATAGGCTGGGCACGGTGGCTCAAGGCTGTAATCCCATCACTTTGGAGTTCAAGATCAGCCTGGGCAACACAGTGAGACCACTGTCTCTGAAAACAATTTAAAAAATAAAAAATGGATTTGGTATGCTTAAGCCTGTAACCCCAGCACTCTGGGAGGCCAAGGTGAGGGGATTGCCTGAGCCCACAGATTGGAGAATAGCCTGGGAAACTTGGTGAGACTTCATCTCTACAATAAATCAAAAAATTAGCTGGGCATGGTAGCATGTGCCTGTAGTTTCGACTACTTGGAAGGCTGAGGCACAAGGATCGCCTGAGCCCAGCAGGTCGACACCGGGGTGGCTGTGAGCATGCCACTACACTCCAACCTGGGCTACAGAGTGAGACTCCAACTCAAAAAAAAAAATTAGCCAAGTGTAGTGGCATAGTCCCAGCTTCTAGGGAGGCTGAGGTGCAAGGATCACCTGAGCCCAGGAGGTCGAGGCTTCAGTGAGCCATAATCATGCCACTGCACTCTAACCTAGGTGACAATGAACTCCAACTCAAAAATAAAAGTTGAGAAATGAGGACAGAGTGAATGTAACCAACAGATCCAGAAACGGACAGAGAGGCAGCTTCACTTTTGCAGAAAATTCTGGCTATATTGCCAGGCTACAGTGATACCCCAGTATGCCTTGAGAGGTGCTTGTCTTCACCATCCTCTCCAGAGCATTTGCAGTCCTGTCCTATCATCCTCTAAGTGCTCACAGGGGAGGGGAACAGAAAATCACCCCACTGCCCTTCAATGTTCACATGCTCATTCCCCTAAGGTATTCATTCTCCTTGTCAAATTGCTTCTGCTATGAAGCTAACCACGTCAGAGCTACTAAAACTCACAGTACAGTTTGCTTGCCACCTGCTACAGATGCCCCAGAATGAGCCCCAGGCATTGCCCCTGCATTTTTTGTCACTCTGCCCTCTAACTGCTGCCAAATACACACACATCTTACACCTCAAACCCGGCCAATACTACCTGCTCACCAGACAGTGGAACCGACGTCTGTGCAAACGATAACCAAGACAATACGTAAGCATGGCTTCACCTTTCCAGGCTCTGTTTTGAGAAAGCCTTCAAAAACTTACTCTGCCTAAAATGGAATGCTGCCTGAAATGGGGACAGCGGATTAGACTCTGAATCAAGGCTATGAATGACATGAAGAACATGAACATACCCACAATCCCCCTCCAGCCAAAACCAACCCAGTAACAATTCCTTGGTTGTTAGACTTGCAGACATTTCTAGGTTGTGACAAGAATCATATAGAGTACCTTATTTTTCCTACAGTCCATAACTTCCAGCACTCCAAACCTATTTCCTCTTCTCTCTTCCAGCCAAAATTAAAAACCCAGTTCCTTAAAAAAAAGGTTTATAGGAGAAATGAAGGAAGGAGAGTCCCAGTGAGCAGAGGCCTCTGAATTAACTCATAATAACACATCCATCTGTCAGTTTCATCAAGAAGGCAAGCCCACCCCCAGGGAGAGGAAAACAGGAGAGGGACCAGAGCAGCAGGTGCCACCAGCTTGTGGCTGCCCCCACTGACCGCTGCAGAAAACCACCGCTCAGATCACAAAAGTCCTTGCCTAGATGGGCAGAGCCCTCATCTAGATGGGCATCCCTGATAATACTTTTTCTTTACTACCAGGCACGGAGTAGATATTTTTAGCTGTCACCAGTCCATTTTTAGCACGAATACCTTGCCTCTTACTCATCACCCTACAGGAGAATCTAGCCAAAGAACATGGGCAATCCCTAATATCCAATCAGTTCACATATCACTTCCTCGGGAATATTTACCCCCTCACTCCCACCCCCTCAATTCATCCCACATTAAGTCAGGTACCCATAACATGTACTTCAAAGCACCTGCCTCCAATTAGAGAAAAACCCAGGAGTCACCCTAGAGACTCACCTTTCTCTCAGTCCATCTACACCTCACTCCTCACCCCATTAGTAAGTCCTGCCGAGTCTACACCCAAAACATCTCCAAGCCCACCCACCTCCCTCCACCTCCACTACTACCTCCATGCTTCTGGCCACCATCTTTTCCCTACCAGGATGATTGTGGCAGTATTAACTGTAGCTTCTGCCTCCTCTCTCGACTCCCTTCATCACCCATAACAACCAGTCGCCTCTTCAACTGATTAACTGGACCACACCCTGCTATAAACTCTAAAGTGGCTTTCCTGTGCCCTTTAAACTAAAATTCCCACACTTGGACTGAAAACCTGTCCCACCAGGTTCCCACCCATCTTCCCAGCCCCTTCCCCTACCTGCTCACTCCCCAACAGCTACCTTGGCTTTTCTGTTCCTTAAACTTGCCAAGATGGCTCCTGCCTCAGGCCCTTTGCCCCTGCGGCTTCCTCTGTCTGGAACATCCTGCCCCCAGTTATCAGAATGGAGGACTTGTCACTCCCTTCTCAGTTCTTTTCTTCTCTGAAAAGAAGCCTTCCCCGACCACTTTATCTGAGGTTGGCTGCCTCCCCGCCTCCCAAGTTACACCTCATCATTTCACTGATCACTATCAACGTTGTTTATTTACTTGTGTATTGTCTGACATTCCCCCTGTAGAACGTGAGCTCCATGAGAACAGGAGCTAAGTGTTGTTCACGGCACCTAGAAGAGAACCCAACACACAGTAGGGCATGGTGGAACTATCTAGACGATCAACCAGGATACATGTGGTTTATATTTCTCTCTCGTGGGCAAGGAGGTATGTGTCTCGTGGTAACCGCTGGACCAAGCACAATAGCAGGCATTGAATATTTGGGAAAGCTAAAGTGGGAAGGAGAGTGCATGCAGACAAGAGGGGGAGAGGGAGGAGAAAACAAAGTAAGCAGAGAAATGGGTGAATTATTGTACAAGGACACCAATGAATACTGCCTGATGGCGATTATTACGACCCCTCCCCTCTTTCCAACACACCCTCGCCTTATACTCCCCTTTCCCTCCTTCTAGAGGTACTTTCTCTTCCTCTATTCTTCTTTTCCTTTCTCCTTCTTTTTGTTTCTAAAAGCCTCTGCTTTGGGAACCTGAAGATAAGACCGATGCCCTACAAGAGGCTTTCATGGCCAGTACCTATCAAGGTCAGTACCCATGAAGTCTAGGGTTCCTCTCTGCATACCTCCTGGGGGGGGGGGTCCCTATATCCCTTGGGAAATGAGTGAGCCTTTCTTTAGGCACAACAGTGAAATGCAGGCTCATTTAGAAGAGGGTTTCATTACCTAACATGCTAAGCAACCAAGGGCAGGAACTGGGTGCTTCACAGTCACCCTGGCTTCTTCTTCAGGGTCTTTGACCCTGGTGGGACAGAAAGTAAGAGGGCTTCTCCAGTGCTTTGGATTTTTCTGCTCTGGTGGAAAGCAGCTTAGTTCCAAAGACTATTTGGTCTTCTTAAATAAACAATTGCCCTTTAGAGACAGTGGTCATATCTTACTTATTTTATCAGTGATCACTGAATAGAATAGAAACCCTAAATCAGGACAGTTTATAGGCAATTTTAAGTGACCTCCTCCTGTTCAAACACAAAGAATATAAATCCCCAAAAAGAATGGAAGTAAATGGCTGTAAGTAAGGGAATTCTAGAAGACTGAATAATTGTTTCCTTTTCTGAAGAGAAGTAAATGACAGAAGAAAATTACCAGAAGATTTCTGAAAAACAGCAGAGCAAAGCAAAGGGAATATTCTCCAGAAGACTCCAAGAAAAGCACAGCTTTGAAACAATTTACTGCAGCATTCAGAATAAGAATATAAGAAATGTTTCGATACCCATAATAGAAAGCACGGCTTCTGTGAAATTGAAGTAGCAGCAGAAAATCCAATGAACAAACAAGGTGAGATGGAAAAACAACAGCAGAGGAAGAACTACAAAGAAAGCAAAGGCAGGACTTGTGCTTCCAAGATACCGCAGAGGACAAATCCTGGTTCTGCTGCTTATTATGTGTCCTTGCAAAAGGCCCTCCCTCCCAGATCGTAGCATTCATCTCCTGGGACTTTCATAAGAATTCAATAAAACACACATACGTGTGGGGGGCAGGGGCAAGCTTCTCACCTGGAGGAGGATCTCTGTAACCAATGCCTTCCCCTACATCCAGATCACTGTGCTCATTCCCACCTTTCAGCTTCCATTTGTTCTTGTTTGAATATGTTACCACCCATTCAATCCTGTTCATCCTGCAGAGCCCATCAAAAAGCACACTTCCTCCGAGAAGCCCGGAGAATCTCTCCCCTCTCTGGCCTTTCACTGCTATAAGTGCTTTCACTAACATTATAATACTTGAAAATATTTGCCTTGTATGAGTCTCTGTACTTTCATGTATAAAAGCCCGAAGAAACACATACTTTCTGAACTCAGAGGCTGTGTCATTATACATATTTTTATATCCTCCACAATGCTGGAAACTCTTGAAGGCTCAGAAAGGCTTGTTAAACTGGGCTCTCTGGCAATAAAGAGCAAACAGGGAGCGTCTCCCCAACTTCAGAGTGATTGCTTATGGGAGAGATTTGGGCCCCCACATTTATCCTCTGTAGAATCACCATCTCATCGCCCCTCCTTCAAAAAGAGGCGGAAGGGGCCAGAAGCCAAGAAGAAGGAAAAAGAAATACCAAAAATCAGAGACAAAAAGTGGTTAATTTTGAATGTATAATGGGAGAAAGGTGTCTGTGGTTTGTGTTGATTTGAAATCTCAGAGTGAATCTGGCAATGGGAGACCGGTTGCCAGTAACAAAGCTTGCTGAGCCTTTGGGTGATACATTCTGAACACATCCCAGTCTTACCTGTATTGTGCTTGAAAGTGGTTTTGCACAAAGCTTTGACCTAGTGTCAGCTCAGCTGATGGTGACAGGCGGTTCTCAGAGGTTTTACTGGCTTCAGGTGGCAGCTGCAAAGAAAGGAGGAAAGGAAGCCAGATTAGATATACCTCCCATCATGCAACCGCTTCCAGATTATTGAGCCCATGGCTTCCTACTGGGCACATATCATCCCTTTCTGGGTCTCGGTAGAGTCTCAACCTTCAATACTTCCTTTACCATAATTCAGGGCTCTTTCAATTCCTGGACCTCCCAAATTCCCTAAAAGAGCATGTTTCTGTGTATTCAAAGAGCAAGCCTGAGCATAAACCTGGGAATGCTCACTCATACCCACCAGCTTCACCTAGTCCCTCTGGATTGATGACCCTATTCCCTACCTCCATCCCACTGGGCCTCGATGCCTAGATGCCTCTTGTACCTTTCACTTGGGTGGACTGCCATCACCTCAAACACAACCACACCCAATCTCTCCAACTATCACCTGCCTACTAAACCGTTCCTGTCTACATTTTCCAGTGAGCCGATTTCCACTCAAGTGCTGTCTTTTGCAGGCAAACCAGATGGTACATTTGAGAATTTGATGCATAAGCTTCCTTCACTACATGCATCAGTCCTGCTGTGTCCTTCTTTGCATTCCCTTGTCCATTTGTTTCTTTTGGTTGCTACAGCAAACTATTACAAACTGGTGGCTTCACACAATAGCAATTTATTCTCTCATGGTTCTCATGACCAGACATCCAAAATCAGTATCGTTGGCTGAAATCAAGGTGTCAGCAGGGGCACACTCCCTCCAGAGGCTCTAGGGAGAGAGTTTATTCCCTGTCTTTTCCAACTTCTGGTGGCTGCAGAATTAACCCCTTGGCTTGTGGCCACGTCACTCCAGTCTTCAAGGCTAACATCTTCAACTGTCTCCTTGCTCTGTGTTCACATTGCTTTCTCCTCTGTGTGTCTCAAATCTCCCTCTGCCTCTCTCTTATAAGAACACTCATCACCAGGTGTGGTAACCAACACTTGTAATCCCAGCACTTTGGGAGACCAAGGTGAGAAGATTGCTTGAGCCCAGGAGTTCAGACTAGCCTGGGTAACATAGCAAGACCCTCATCTTAAAGTTTCAAAAAAAGAACACTCGATATTGCATTTAGGGCCCACATGAATAATCTAAATTAATGATCTCATCTCAAGATTCTTAACTTAATCATTGTCTGCAAAGTCTTTATCAAATAAGATAACATCTACAGGATGCAGTGATTGGGACCTGATATCTTTGGGAGTCAGTTTTTGGCCTATTCCTCCATAGGGCTCCTGCCAGCTCCAATGCCACCATCCTCCTTCAGATTCTTACCACTTCCAAAATGAATTACTCCAGCTGTCAAGTTTCCCTAAATATTTTCTTCACCCTCTGCCCATTCCCTACCACACACAGGACACATTTTTTTTACTAGGGCCCTGCTATGAAAAAATCACTGTCTTGGAAGGGGTGTGTTTCTAAGGGAAACCCTAAAGTCAAAGCCACTCATAATATAAAGCCATGTAGTAAAATATAAAATTACCTACTTACACAAGGCGACACATATGATCACTCCCCTCAAGGAGTCACTTTAGACAATTTTTCCTAATCACTCCCACCATGAAACTTTAATACCACAGGTATATTGTATATGTGTCTATGGACCATATGAGTATCTGTCCCTCAAGAATCAATTTTCAGCACCTTGCAGCCTTTGGCACTTGTGCAGAATCATCCCCATGGAGAAGGCATACCCTCAGAATAGACAGGCAGTGAGGCACAGGGTAGAATTTGAGACGGATAAAGAATTTTAGAAAGCAGAGGACAGAACCAGGCAAAGGGAACACATGTGATGTGTCTGGGGTAAAGCGTACCCATGTGTGCAATTTACTTCAAGGTGCATCCAAAAAATAAGATGAAGAAAAAAAGGATGGCGTAATGAGCACATAGAGGGATAGACAGATGGGTAAGTGCAGAATAAAGCATATTTAGCAAAACATACACTGTAAAATCTACGTGGTGGGTGTGAGTGTTCACGGTAGAATTAATTCAACTTTTCCATATGTTTGAAATTTTTCATAATAAATTATTGGAACAAATAAGTGAAGAGTACTCAGAATCACTCTTTTTTGTCCCAATATTTTATGATGCCCAGTTTGACTGGAACACAGGATGTGTAAAAAGAGATAGAAAACAAAGCTGGAAAGTGAGCCTAGTGCCAGGTAGGTGGGGCCTTCAATGTCCTAAGGAATGCTTCAGTAAACAACATAGTACCAGGGGGAAGAATGCAGACTTTGAAGTCAGACTGCTGGGGTTCAAATCCCTGTATCAGTACTTGGCTGCAAGAGTTACTCAACCTCTCTGATCTAACTAAATAAGTTAATCTCTTTGTTCTGTGGTTTCTCAACTGTAATAAAGGTATAATGATAGTACCTATCTGACAGGGATGCTCTGAGGATTTAATTCTGAGGATTTAAAGAGTTAATATACATAAGACACTCAGAACAGTTCCTGACCCAGAGTAAGCATGGTGTGTAAGTGGTTGTTAGTGTTACACAATGGGGAGTACCTGATGGGTTTTGAACCCAGATAGTAGCAACATGCTCAGAGGCTTTAACTTGGCAACCATCCCCAGATGAAGAAGGCTAAATCTGGAGGTAAGGACACAGATTAGGAGGCTCAGGGATCCAGGAAACAGTAAGATGAAGTAGAGCAGAAATCAGATAATGACAAGGAGGGATGGATTCAGGCACCTGGTGTGCATAACTCATAATTCAGCCCCTGACTAAGGGAGCAGAGGGAAGACAAAAATATAACCAAGTCCAAGGTTCCCATCTGGCTAAACGCAGCGGCTCACACCTATAATCCCGGCACTTTGGGAGGCAGAGAAAGAAGGACTGCTTGAGGCCAGGAGTTCAAGACCAGCCTGAGCAACATAATGAGACCCTGTCTCTACAAAAAAGTTTTAAAAATTTACCCAGGTGTAGTAGCGTGTTCCTGTAGTCCCAGCTACTCAGGAGATTGAGGCAGGAGGACTGCTTGAGCCCAAGAGGATTGCTATGATCACACCACCACACTTCAGTCTGGTAACAGAGCAAGACTCTGTCTCAAAAAACGAAAAGAAAAAAAAAAAAAAGAGTCCAATCTGGTAACTGCAGAACCCCAGTTCCATTAACAGAGTGAAAAGAAGTGGGCTTGGGAAGGGCATCCAACTTTGAGGGTGACTCAATATCCAGACAGAGACTTGAATGGCAAATGGGTGAAGGGCACTTGGAGGAGCTAATGTGGATGCGGAGTGGACACACATGGGGACGTTTTGGCTCTGGATTCCCTTCTCCTCCTTTGATAGCAGCACCCCTTCTGGAACCTGCATCCAGTCCATGGGTAGAGAGGGTTCCTTCATCAGGGGTCCTATCCTCCCCCACCTAGGGACGGGCCCAGAACCCAAGCAAGCCACACCAGGATGTTCCTGCCCTGAGGGTGAATCATGAACAGAGTGGCTCAAAAGCTAAAAATGTTTATTCTAGCAGTGGTGTCCAAGGAAGAGAGTTGAGCAGTTCTGTCCTGCTCTGCCCTCAGAGCTACCCTGACTGTTCCAAGCTGATCCTTCAGCCTTCTTGCTCCTCGGCGTTCTCATAAGTGCCCTTCTTGTTTGAGTCAGCTCAAGTTGGTCACTGTTGATTGCAACCAAGGAACTCACAATGACACGGGGTGATTCTGAAAAGCACTGGAGCAGCTGTGGACAAAATCACAGGATATGAAAAGAGAAAATCCTGAATGAGGCTGGAGTGAGGGGGAGGGGACAGTGGCATGGACAGTGAGATCAGGCGAAGCCACTCTACTGTCTGCTAACCAGATGGACCTCAATAGCTCTCTCTGAGCCTCATCCTACATCTAAAAGGAATAAGAGGATCACACCAACTTCAGGGAGCTATCATTAAAATCAAAAGAAATGACAAGTGTATCTTGCCTGGCACATAGTTGGTGCTTAATACATGTCAGTTTCCTGGTCCTCTATCCAGCCTCATCTCCTCCTTAATCCTACAAGAGTGGCATTTTCTGGAAAACAAATTGCCAACAAGATTGCATGTAGGTTAGCGTCTCTAATAGGATAGTAAAAATGTGCCCTCTTTGCAGGATGAAAACATTTGAGAATTGTTAAAGTAATGGGAAAGAAAGCGGTCCTTGTGTTTTCTATTCCAGTTTCAAATAAATCTAGCTATATGGCTTTCCTATGTCCTGAAAACAGAAATAACCTCAAAAAGAAAAATCATTCAGCTTTAATGCAGAGGACAGCAGCTTTCCTTCGCGGAAAGGGAAAAGGAAGTTTCATGCCGAATAATCCCAACAGCTCTGTTCTTTACCTTCAAGCATACACAGCCAGGCCTCCACAGGCAGCCCAATTTTTTGAGAGTAAATTTCAGGAGAGGCTTTGACCCCAGACAGAGAAAAAGATCTTTTTTGGTTTCAATCAGGTCAAACTAAGGGCGGGGTAAGCGCCTCTCCTGGTCTTGCCTAGATGATGTACACCTAACACATTTGGTCCATTAAGGAATAGAAAGCAGCTGGCATGGTCAAGGACAGGGAGCGAGGGACAGAGGGGTCTGGAATCGGGTTGAGTGGTTGTCGGAGCAGTCAGGGAGGGTCCCGTCAGCCACATAGGAGCCTGGATTTTGTTCTAAGTGCAATAGAAAGTCACTGGAGAGATTTAGGCAGGAAAGTGACATGCTCTTATTTCCTCTCTAAAAAGATCTGGGCCGAGCAGGGTGGCTCAAGCCTGTAATCCCAGCACTTTGGGAGGCCAAGGCAAGAGGATTGCCTGAGCCCAAGGGTTCGTGACCAGCCTGGGCAACTTGATGAGATCTCGTCTCTACAATATATCAAAAAGTAGCCAGGCATGGTAGCGTGCACCTGTAGTTCTGGCTACTAGGAAAGTTGAAGCAGAAGGATCACCTGAGCCCAGCAGGTTGATGCTTAGGGTGGCCGTGAGCGAGCCACTGCACTATAGCCTGGGCAACAGAGTAAGACTCTGACTCAAAAAAAAAAGATCTGGCTGCCGCATGGAGAATATCGCAGTGGGACATATTCAAAACTAGAATGCCAATTATGACTGCTTTTGCTTGTGTCTTAAAGCCATGAAAAAGAATTACTGACCGGCCCTTTTGGCATAATTACACTTAATGTCATCTTAAAGAAAGGTTTGAGGGCAGTGCACTGTAATGAGAAACAAAGGCCCTAAAGCAGTGGTTCCCAACTAGAAGGTGATTTTGCAGGTAATCACAACTCTGGGGTGTCATTGGCACCTATTGGGTAAAGGGATGCTACTAACGCTACAACAAGCAGGACAGCCCTCCCCTACAAAGAATCATCCAGCCACAAATGTCAAAAGTGATGAGGTTGAGAAATCCTGTTACAGAGTTGCATTTCCTAGGTTTGGGTCCTGGATCTCTCACTTACTAGCTGTATGACTTGGAGCAAGTTACTTAACCTCTCTGTGATCTTCTCCATCCTTAAGCCCAATGCCTTTTCCTGCTTCCAAGGGATAACAGGAAAATCAAAAGGCAGTTTGGAAGGCTGTGTATCCCACTTACTTTCCATGAAGGAAGAGCTGCCTGGTATAGCCAGGGAGAAGAGAAGGCAAAAACAGGATAAGAGGCCTTTCCTATACAGTCTCTAAGTTTCCTCTCTTCTCCTGGTGGGGAATTGAGAAGGCATGAGATTCTCGTGATAGAGAAAGGGACCCAGCACACTGGCTTCCAGGACAGATCCAGGTTCAAGTCTATTTCCACCAAGTAGAAGCTGAGTGACCTTGAGCAACTTCTTTAACCTAAATTTCCATTAACTAAAATATGAAATACCCTTATACACAGTAAAGCCTAATAACTATTTAATGTATTCAATCATTCAAGAGTCTATCTACTATGTGTCACATAGTAAAATAAGTCATGCAAAGTACCAAGTTAGATGCCTGGCACATAACAAACATTCAATAAATAGTATCTTTCTTTAATTACATCATTCTAATTTCAAAATGTGTTCACTATAAGCTTATGAAATATACAATATAGTAGGCATATGTTTATCTGCTCAGCATTCTTTTCTTTAGGGAAGCAACCAGCTCCATTTCTATAAAAGCTCTCCGTGGCCCATGTTCACTCCAACAGGCATGCAACTCAGCTATTTCCACCATGTCAGAACATTCCCTTCCTCTGGCCTTATGCCCAGGAATGGACATGTGAACCCCATTGGGACAATCAGACTCTTCCCTGGGTTTTTTCTGGAATGCCAAGCTCTTAAGACTATATGAGCATTGAGGAAGGCCCTCCTGCCACCATGTGGGCAGAGTCAAACAAAGAATGAAGCCAGAGACAAGAAATAAAGAGTCAAAGACTTGGTGACATTGTTTGAGTCCCTGGATCTAGCCCTACCTGAAGCTGGTTTAACCCTTGGACTTACAAGTTATAAAAGTCAATAAATGCCCTTCCCTTAAGTTGGATCAAGTTAAACTTGTCTCTTGCAACTAAAAGGGTCAGAATAAGATAAGTAGGAAATCACTGAAAGCAAAAGAAAAATCACTCATAACCTCACAACCCAGGGAAACCACCATAAACTTTGTGTAGACCTCCAGGTTTTGTGGTGGTGGTCATTTGCTTTGTTTCATTTGTGTGTTTTGGGTGTGAGTGGGGTGACTATTTTTAAAGTAAGAGAATAGGCTTTCAAGCTAGATCTCCTTGGGCTTGAATCTGGACTGTCCCTTTCTTAGATGTGTTGCTTTAAGAAGGTTGCCCAACCTCTCTGATATATGGAACATATATAGTTATGTTAAAGTTTCTTAAAGTTGCAAGTTGTCTTTTTTTGAATCAGCGTCACACTCTGTTGCCCAAATTGGAGTTGAGTGACACAATCACTACTCACTGCAGCCTCAAACTCCTGGGTTCAGGTGACCCTTGCACCTCAGCCTCCCAAGTAGATGGGACTACAGGCATACGCCACCATGCCTGGCTAATTTTTTTTATTTTTTTGTAGAGACAAGGTCTCACTATGTTGCCCAGGCTGGTCTCAAACTCCTGAGCTCAAGCAATCCTCCCACCTCAGCCTTCCAAAATGTTGGGATTACATGCATAAGCCACTGCACCCAACCTGCAAGTTGCCATTTTAAAAGAGAAAGAATCAGAAACACAACAGCTGGCTACATGAATTAATTAAAACAAAAAAGACTCAGTTTTCTGAACCACTCATTCTTTATTGTTTTAGAAAGACAGGCTCCAAGTAAATATTGAAGGGATAGAAAGGTGACAGTTGAAAGACCTAAGTAAGCACTTTCCGGGGTTTGTTAGTTAATTCATGAGAAGGATGGGAAAAAGTGTCCGGATTTAAAACAAAACCAAAAAATTGGTAAAGCAGATCTTGTGGCTGCATGTGGAGTAGTCATGAGATACATCAAAAGTAATATGTTGGCTGGGCACAGTGGCTCAAGCCTGTAATCCCAGCACTTTGGAAGGCTGAGGTGGGAGGATTGCTTGAGCTCAGGAGTTTGAGACCAGCCTGGGCAACATAGTGATACCTCATCTCTACAATATATCAACAAATTAGCTGGGTGTGATAGCGCACACCTGTAGTTCCAGCTACTTGGATGGCTGAGGCGGAAGGATTGCCTAAGCCCAGCAGGTAGACACTGGGGTGGCCGTGAATGTATCACTGCCCTCCAGCCTGGGCGACAGAGTAAGACTCTGACTCAAAAAAAAAAAGTAATATGTTACTAATTAATTATCAAAGCTCATAAAACACTTTTATAAATTACAGAAGATTAGGCATGGATACTGTTATGATAAATTTGCACACTCATGACATAATGACTTCACTCACTTTTAACTTCTGGGGTGACAGATAAATGAACAACATCAGAGCTTAACCCATCACTGATTTTTTTTTTTTTTTTTGAGATGGAGTCTTACTCCATCGCCCAGGCTGGAGTGCAGAGGCATGGTCACAGCCACCCCAGTGTCAACCTGCTGGGCTTAAGCGATCCTTCCACCTCAGTCAGTCAAGTAGCTGGAACTACAGGTGCACGCTACCATGCCCAGCTAATTTTTTATTTATTGCAGAGACGAGGTCTTGCCAAGTTGCCCAAGCTGGTTTTGAACCTACATGCTCAGGCAATCCACTCACCTCAGCCTCCCAAAGTGCTTGGATCACAGGCTGAGCCACCAAGTCCAGTCATTGATCTTTTTTGAACAAAGTCTATAAAGAATGTATCAACTGAAATTAGCTGCGCATGGTGGCGCACACATGTAGTTCCAGCTACTTGGAAGGATTGCCTGAGCCTAGCTGGTCAAGACTGTGGTGTCCATGAGCATGCCACTGCACTCCAGCCTGGGTGACAGAGTGAGACTTCAACTCAAAAAAAAAAAAAAAAGACTGAATCAATTAACTGTGTCTATCACAAATAACTCTAGTGCTTTCCTCCTCTCAAACCTTTGGGGTTTCATCAAAACCTGAAAATGCTAAACGCACACATGCAAAAATCATCCATCCTGTGTCTTCAGAGAAAAGGTCAGAAATCGCTGCCCTATAGAACACATAGCTGAGAATGCAATGGTAGAGTTGAAATGGCACCATCTGATAATAATAAGGAATGGTACTCATGGCCTCAGATGGCCATACCAAAGCACAGAATAGAAATTAAAAAAAAAAAAAGACTGTTCAAACTTTGAGCCAAAATGAAACCCTATTCGCTATATCACTGGGATTAGGGAGGATGAGAAATATCGCAAGAGGAGGAAATGCCTTGCCTAAAGCAAACAGAGCTCGGAGAATGGAGTAAGGAATTGCACTGTGTACAGTAGCCAGAATATGCAGAAATCTAAGAATCTGAATTTCAAGATTCAGATTTGAGGAGCTGAGTAAATATTCAAAGGGACAAAAGGTGGGGAGGACCCAATCTACTGTGTTGTTTTGAGGATGACTGACCTTCTCAGACACAGGCCCTCGGGACGAGCCCTCCAGGTCCTCATGCACACGGTCCAGCAACCAGAGCAGGAATTCCAGGGCATCGTGTTGCGAATTGCCTTGGAACTGAGAGCCGTACTTGGAAACTGCATTCTGAAAGGAAGAAAAGGAGACTAGAGGTCAATTTGGCCCTTTGTACAACTGAATGTAGGGCCCACAAGCACCAGGTCTACTGAATGGTCATTATCTGGCCCTGACCTAGGATGACAGAATACAGGCAACCTAAGGGAAGTTCTTTCCTGCCAAAGCCTGCCTTTTGGGGACAGTATCCCAAAATGGCATGAGGGTTCTCATACAGGAGAAGGCACTTTTTCCCCAGGACTACTGCTGTATGGCTTATCTTTTAAAAATCCACCTGTCTCTGCTGAATATTTTGGCACTGTCGACCACCTGTTCCCCCCAAAACCTTCATCCTTTGGCTACTGGGCTACCAGGCTCCACTGGTCTTCCCTCCACCGGTCTATTCTTGTGCTGCCTCTCTCAGTTCACCCTACAGGTGAACAGCCTTATTACCCTACTCTCTCTCCTTCGCTGATTTCATTCATTCCTATAACTTCAACTTTCTCTTCTTTGGAAATACAGTAGTCATGCCTACAGTGAAGTTGACTTCCTAAATATTATGTATGTAGCTCCTTTACCACTTCTTTCTAATACATGTGAAACTTAAGAACACAGATTTATTTTCCTTTGGTTAGATCATGATATGGTTGAGCCAGCCCTTTATACCTCTAGTAAATATGTACCGAGTGCTGACTACATGTTAGGCACTATTCTAGGGACCAGGGATTCGACCATGAACAAAACAGACAAAACTCGCTGCCCAGGCTGGGTGCAGTGAGTGGCTCATGCCTGTAATCCCAGCACTTTGGGAGGCTAAAGCAGGAGGATCATTTGAGGCCAAGAGTTCAAGACCAGCCTGGACAACATAACAAGATCCCGTCTCTATAAAAAGTAAAAAATTTTCCTGGGCGTAGTGGTGCACACCTGTAGTCCCAGCGACTCGGGAGGCTGAGGAGGGAAGACTGCTTGAGCCCAGGAGTTCAAGGCTGCAGTGAGCCATGATCACACCACTGCACTCCAACCTGGGCGGCAGAATGAGACTTCAACTAAAAAAAAAAAGACTCACTACTCACTGCCATCATGATACATATTCCCTGCACCCCTGGCACTGTCCTTCTGTTAAATTGTTAACAACTCTGTCATTTTCTGTGTAAATGCAATATTTCAGCTTTATAAAAGTTTATTTTCAAAGGGTAATATATGCACATACTTAAAAAAAGAATTCAAAATATAAAAAAGAACAGTAATGAAGTCTTCCTTCTAGCTGGTCTCCAAAACTGGTGTCCCTGCCCAGAGGGCAGTCACCCTTAGCAGATCCTTAAACATCTTTCCAGGGGCTCTTGCTGTGCATGAGCAAGCATATGCACATCTGTCAGTAAATCCCCTTGTCTGTGTGTACACATGCAAGCACACACACAGCACACTATGGCTGCCAGGCCCACTCAGACTGCAGAGCCAACCTCAGGCCTCATCCCACACAGATCTGTTCTCACACCTGCCAAAGGGACCCATCTTAGCAAGGCTAAGGACCAGGACAATCCTCACCACTGCCAATCAAACCAAATGGTCTGGTCTTTTTTTCTTTCTGTCTTTCTTTTCATCTTTCCTTGAGATTTAAAGGAAACTTTAGGATGAGGCCAAGTAAAATATAAGATTTAATTAGTTGAAATGCTGGTTCCAAGTCTTTATTCCAATCACGTTAGTTTGGATTCTTCCCCCAGGCTTCTCTGCACTTTGATCCCCAAGTAGGGCTGCCATATTTATAAAATAAAAATAGAAGATACCCAATTAAATTTGAATTTCAGAGCTAAGCATGGTGGTACATGCCTGTAGTCCTAGCTACTTGGGAGGCTGAGGGGGAGGATCCCTTGAGTTCAGGAATTGGAGGCTGCAGTGGGCTATGATTGTGCCACTGCACTCCAGCCTGGGCAACAGAGAGAGACCTCATCTCTAAATACAATTTTTAAAAGATAAAATAAACTATGAGGTCAGGTGTAGTGACTCAAGCCTGTAATCCCAGCACTTTGGGAGGCCGAGACGAGAGGATTGCCTGAGCCCAGGGGCTCAAGACCAGCCTGGGCAACTTGGTGAGACCTTTTCTCTACAATATATCAAAAAATTAGCCGGGCGTGGTAGCATGCGCCTGTAGTTCCGGCTACTTGGAAGGCTGAGGCGGAAGGATCACCTGAGCCCAGTGGGTTGATGCTGGGGGGTGGCCGTGAGCGTACCACTGCACTCCAGCCTGGGCAACAGAGTGAGACTCTGACTTAAAAATAAATAAATAAAAATAATAAACAATGAATAATTTTTCATAAAAATGTGTCCCATGCAATATTTGGGATATATTTGTGCTAAAATATTATTTATTACTTGTCTGCAATTAAAAGTGTTGTGCATTTTATCTGGCAACCCTACTCCCAAGCCACCTTCAAACCTGTATTGTAGACCAACAATCTCTTCCGAGTGAGCAGTCAGCTTTTTCAAAAATCTCTAAAACCAGCTATTTCTCTTCATGTAGGTATCATCATCCAGATTCTCCTGCATATCAGTCAGCTATCAAGCAATCTGGATTCTGGCTCCCAATGTCTCTGCCCTTCCCCTACAGTAGAGACTCATTCCAACTGTAGAGCTCTACCTCCTGCTGACCCAGACCAAAATACCTACCTAAGGAGGGGCCCAGTCTCTAGAATCTCTTCCTGTCATTCCACTGAGCTCATGGTAGACCAGACCAATCTTCCTACAGTTCAGCTGGATAACTCCTGAATCCAAATCCTTCCTTACTCTCCTATTTACCACCTAATAGTCCAAATGCTTTCTCTGGTCTAGTCCCAAGCAATGTCTTCCCATATTTCAAAGCTCTAGGCAGTAAGGCACTCAGGTGCCCCAAACATGCTTTCCTACTTCTACAGTCTACATTTTAACTCTTGTTCTTCCTTCTATGTGAAATACATTCCTTTCCAGTTAGTCATGATAACCATTTAAGACTGATACTCTTTATCTTAGACTGGCTACATTATCTTGTGACCTTCCCAGAAAGAACTTGACAACTGCAAGATAGACACCATAGTGCCTTAAAAATACCCCTCTAAATAAGCATAGTAATTCTACTTTTGGAGATTCAGCCTATGAAAATGAGAGAACAAGCAAAGAAACCTCTATGTATCAAAGTTATCTAGGGAAAAACCTATGGCCTTAAAAATTATGACTGAGGAAATACTAATGAGAAAAGAAAATAAATAATTCCGTCATTAAAAAAGGAGAAAAAGAGTGTCAAAAGATATATTTGATATATGTAGATATATAGACAGAGATATTTATAGATAGAAAGATAAGAGACCACAAAATATATGGCAAAAATATTAACAAATGGTTATCATAGAACGATGGGATCATGGGCAATTTTTTTCATTTTCATTTAAACATTCCAAATTTTTCTTACAGTGAACACTGTTCTTTATTGGATTTTTTCCAATTATGAAGTATCTGAAGAATTTTTTTAAATTGAGCCTATCAATTTATACAGGAGACATTCTCATAGAATGAAAAATGACTAGAACTGCATAAAGCTAAATACTACTTGAGAAGAATGAACTGCAATATTTGGTTATTTCTATCCTGTAACAAGGTATAGCTTTATCTCTGTGTGTATGTGTGTGTGTTCTCTTCCCAATATTGACAATTTTTAACATATTGCTTATTAAAATCATTCCTATTTATTTCATATTCTGATTTTTATGAACAAAATCTAAATTTTTATATGTTCTAAACTGTTATTGCTTCTGGCTTTCTATCTGATTTCATTAGTAACAGCAAAAATGCTAAAATATGGATTTCTAGAACTATTTAGCAATTTTCTTTCAGTTCAATATTTTTTACTTCATTTCCATTTTATGTCTTACTGTTTTGTTCAGAACTTCCAAAGCATAAGATGAAGGCATCATTATTTTTAAAAAGCAATGCCTCCCGTATATCACTGTGTATCTAAAATTTATCCTAAGTACATAAGCTAAGACAAATTTCAAATGGCTAAAATATTTACTGTAACATAGAGAAACTAGAAATACATAAAATAGAATATTTATCAAAAGGTATGATACAAATAAATTTAAAGTTTCCTGTATTGGGGTAGGAGTAAAAAGGAAACAGTTTGGAAAAAAAATTTGTAGTAAATATGACAAGGTTAAAGATCTCAGAGGAACAGATAAAAAGAACACTGAGGCTGGGTACAGTGGCTCACGCCTATAATTCCAGTACTTTGGGAGGCCGAGGCGGGAATACTGCCTGAGTGCATGAATTCAAGACCCGCCTAGTCAACAGACTTCATCTCTTCAAAAAATCATAAAATTAGCCAAGCCTGGTGGTGCATGCCTATAGTCCTAGCTACTCCAGAGGCTGAGGCCAAAAGATCGCCTAAGCCCAGGAGGTCGAGGCTGCAGTGAGCCATGATTGCACCACTGCACTCCAGCCTGGGCAACAGAGACTCCAACTCAAAAAAAAAAAAAAAAAAGAGAGAGAGACCAAAGCAGAATGGATATCCAAACAACATGAACAGATAATTCCAAGAGCAGACTTACAACTAGTAAAGAAACATGGAAAAATCTTCCATCTCACTCCTAATCAAAGAAATAAAAACATGGTGTTATTTATTTTTGTTCAATAAATTAATAGGTGATAAAGATCTATTATACAGCATGGTAATTAAAATTAGTAATAATATATACTTAAAAATTACAAAGGGAATGGATCTTAAATGTTCTCATCATAAAAAATAAGTATGTGAGGTGGTGGATATATTAATTATCATGATTTAACCATTTCAAAATGTACACATATAACAAAATGTCATGGACACCTGTACACTGTAAATACATACAATTTTTTTTTTTTTGAGTTGGAGTCTCACTCCGTCACCCAGGCTGGAGTGCAGTGGCATGCTCACAGACACCCCAGCACTGACCTCTTGGGCTCTGGCAATCCTTCTGCCTCAGCCTTCCAAGTAGCCAGAACTACAGGCACGCACTACCATGCCTGGGTAATTTTTGATTTATTTTAGAGATGAGGGCTCGCCAAGTTGCCTGGGCTGGTCTCGAACCCGTGAGATCCGGCAATTCACTCACCTCAGCCTCCCAAAATGCTGGGATTACAGGCTGAGCCACCGAGCCCAGCCATATATATAATTTCTATTTGTCAATCATACCTTCATAAAGTTGGGGAAAAACTTAATGAGAGAGAGAAATGTCCAATATCCAGGAAAATATGCATCACTATTATAGCAAAAAAATAATTATTATTTGGAAAGAATTATATCACTATGGATGCTAAAAATAATGAAACCAAATAAAGTTGATTTTAAAAAGTTAAAAAAAACCTAAATATTTATAATTGTGATTATTGCACAGATACACACATTTGTTAAAATGTATTAAATTCTACACTTAAATGGGTGTTTCACTGTATATAACTTATATGTCAATAAAGGTGATGTGAAAAGTAAAAACAGAAGATAATAAAATACTCACACCTTTCCTTTGATTGTAGGAATTAAGCTTGTAGGAATTAAGCTTAGGAAATGGTCAGAGATGAGGACAATGATTTAAATATAAGAAATTTCAATATAGTGCAATAAGTGGAAAATTATATAGCACATCAATGTCTCTATAAAGGATAGGTCTATTTAACAATACGTTAATCATTAAAAATTAAGTTTCATAGAATGCTGTAATGATTTTTTTAAGTCATAAAAATACTTAAAATTTAAAAAACAGGATACCAAACTAGAATTTCCAATTGTTTGTATATTCTTTGAAACACATCCATATGCATGTTCTTTGAAACATATCAATACGTTTATGATAGTTCTCTCTCTGGGGTGGAATTACAGATCTTTTTCTTTTTACATCTTGCACTTCCCATTTGTTTTACAATACACATATTTAATTAAATCATTAGAAAAGCAAAGAATTCTAGAGAATACTATAGATAATATTTTTTAAATGTATATTTATTTACTGTTAAAACAAACAGTGGTCCATCTATCTGTAGGAGGCTGGGGAACTCAGCTTGGGAAGGAAGAACATCCCAAACCCATCCCATTAGCAAGGCTAAGAATGGGATACACTCTGGCGTGCTGGCCTCTTCTCAGATGCCTCCCTTCCTCAGTCTGAAGCAAGGGCAGGCTTTCACTAATTCATTCAGCAGAAGGTCTCTCCACCCACCCACCTCTGTGGTGGGCATTTTCAGTTCCCAGGGCCTGGAATGCAATTTCCCATCTTTCCGTGCCCTTAGTTGACAATCTCATCCTTCAAAACTTAACTCAGTGGTTGGTTACCTTTCCAGGGATGCCTTCCCTACTCACCCCATCCCCATCTCCCCTAATCAAATCATATCCTCCAGCTATAACTGTCATAGAACCCCGTGTTTTTCCTTTCTAGCAAGTTCCTGTTCTAATCACGCACCTGTGTGATAATTTCATTAACATCCAATTCTCCTGCAAGACTATAAGCTCATGGATGGAAGCCTCAGAATCTGGGCTGTGTTTATCATGTATGCCATGCTCCTAGTCTGGACATTCAATAACTATTTGTTGAATGAATGAAGGTTTCCTCATCTATAAAATAAAAGAAGCCCACCTAGATTTCCATCCATAATGTTGAAAGCCTGGATTCTGGGATCCTCTACTCCTCCCTCCAAGGTCCCTACCCAAAAGTCACAGGAAACCCCAGATTACATCTCTCTCATTAACATATTAAGAACTTGATTATCCTTCAGTTCCCTGAGGCTTACTGGGAGCTCCCAGGCCCTTAGGATTTAACAGCAGAAGAGAGACAGGAAATCCCAGTGAGTCACTGAGGGTGATTACTAACTTGGGAGTTTTTTCAAACTACTCTGGTCTCTCCCATTGCTGCACTAACTGGATGGGAATGCGCCTGGCTAGAGAAAATATACACAAAGATCCCTTCTCTCTCTCCTCTCGGTTTTTGCAGGTGAGAAGGTGTAAGGATCGAATAATGAACAGTTCCTTTTTTTTATTCCCCCCACACACACACCCTCCAAGATCCCCAATGAACACTTCCTATGGGCCAGGCACTGTTTTAAGTACTCTACATATAACTCATTTAATATTCAACAACAACTCTATAATAAGGTAGCTACCATTATGGTTCCATTTTAAAGATGTGAAAAGTGGAGGCACAGCAAGAAGTAGTAACTTACTCAAGGTCACAAAGCTCCAGAGACCTTGATCTTAACTACTATACTATATGGCCTCTCATATTTAAAAAGCAAATGTTGCCAAAACCAGACATTGGTGACACCCATTTGACCCACTGACTGCCACAGAACAGTGCTTCACTAGTGGAGGCAAGAGAGAGGAAGGTGGGGGTTGGCATCCTTGTGTGTCACATGGCAAAGACTGCTTTCTCAGGCTGAAACTCAAGAGCGGTGAAGCTTGTGGAATGAACACTGACAGGTTTCCCCCCTCCCCCAAGAACAACAATCACTAGTCTGTGGAGAACTTCAGCTCTCTGCCCAAAGCTGTGGGTTTTTGTTTTTATTTATTTATTTTTTAAGCAGGAAGCAAGCCATGTGCATCAATTATCAGAAACTCTTTAATCCAACTGGGACCCCAAACACCCCACTTTAACCCCGGCTGAAGTGATACACACAGTATACAAAGCCTCATGACCCTGCAGCATCTCGAGTAAGTAGACCGTGATCCTGAGGACAACAAGATGTGACCCCATGCTAACACACTGTAAGGGGACTGAATGTGCATTAAACAAAAGGATACCATATCCAAAATAGCACACCCACTGCCTTTCCCGGGCCCTCAGCACAGTATCTGGCCCTCAGCACAGTACCTGGCCTGTAGGTGCTCAACATCCATGGGCTTAGAACAAAATCCAAGCTCTTTCCCACGGCCTCCGAGGTCTTCCACGATCTGGCAAATCTCATCTGCCTTCGTAGCTCCAACGCCACTCATTGCACGTTTCCAATGCTCAGCACCTTTCGGTCTATAGTCTTTGTACTTGCTGTTCCCTCTCCCTGGATTATTCCTGGATCTTGCCCTGACTGCGTCTTTCTCATCATTCAGATCTTGCAAGCATCATTCCTTCCTCTAAGGCCTTGGCCTTCAAAGTCCCATTTCCCATCCCGCACCGCTTCAGACCAGCAGCTCTACCCCCAGCGTAAGAACACTATCAGGCCCACAAGCCTTCAGTACTTCAGCAAATGTTTGTTGACTGCAAAAACGCTGAATACACTTAAATTTGCCCGCTCAAAATACCTGGGGGAAATTAATTTCTAAAGAAAACATAAGCAAGCGACAGCATCCCACACCAACTCAAAACAAAGGCTGTAGCCCGAGGCTGAACCGGTCAATGGCCTCTTGGGGCCCCCAGAAAACCGTCTCCTGACGGTACACACACTTTTCAAGAATCGGAACCAGCAGGAAGCTCGGGCAAGGGCGGTCGGCGGGGCGCTGCCTACCTTGAACTCGGCGGAAAGTTGGGGCGTGTATTCGCGTGTCCAGAGCGCGCGCACCAGCGCCGCCAGCTGCTCGGTGACCTCGGCGCGGCCCGGCGCCGCCCGGTAGCGCCCCAGCGCGAGGAACTCGGCCAGCAGGTCGGTGTTGCTGAGACACTGCACCACTGCGTTCATGAAACAGGTGTTGCCGTGGTTCTTC